TCGTAAGATCTGAACAAGTACAGTACGAAATTTCTGAGTCATATATACCAAATTTACTGAAACAAATGCATAAAGCACTCACAGAAGCTGCTAAAAATTTAGAAGGATCCATAAATCAACGTTGCGAAAAATACAATAAAAATGTAATTACGAAAGAGTATCAGCTAGGAGATAAGGTATGGCTATATACACCATCTATAAAAGGAAAGAAATTAGCTACAAAATTTGTACCAAAATGGACTGGACCCTACAGAATTGTTTCAAGAACTGGACCAGTAAATTATAGAATCATCGAAATTGGTTCTGCTAATGAACAATTAGTTCATGCAGCGCGATTAAAACCTTGGAAAATAAGAACAGCAGAATCTGATGACCAACTAGAGAATGAAGAAACTGAAGATATTCAATTAAAACTGGATTATTCTGATGAAAGTGATGATCAAGAAGAACTTGATTGGATCGAAGGGCCAATTGATGTAAATCAACTATACGAAACTGCAAATCCAAATACACTAACGGTATCCACAGAAAATGGTGAAAATTTAGAACTGAAAGACCCATTATATGTCTCATTAGATGACATCGTTAGAAGCGACGAACAAAATGTAAAAATCCAACAAGAGAATGATATTCAAAAAGAAATAAGTTCTGCTGAATCAGAAACTTCTGATATAAGTTCAGACAGCTTAGACTCTGAAACAGAGGAGTTAAATGAACCAACCTCATCTATCGTGCGTAGTCCACCGCGTCATGCTTATCATACAAGGAGCAAAGGACAAGCTCCCGAGTATCCGTGGGTATTACATAAACATATATAAAGAAAGTTCTAAGTTAAACGTATCAAATACAGATTTGGCAAGTTTAGAACTCTATAATTACTTTTAATCCAAGATAGTAGTTACGTGGTCTTATTATTTTTTAGGAACCATCCAAAAACGAAGTGATGATACTGACTACAAAGAGGCGTAAATATATATATCTTATTACTGCATATCACGGAGATTAAAACACTTGCCCCTGCTGGCATAGTCTTACTTTTCAATTATTAATCTTTTTTTAAAAGAGGACTCTCACTAACAATAGATAGTAGGATTTTGATTTTAGTATAAGGCTTTTACTAACACACATTGGGAATGAGTGTTATAGATCGACATATTATCGAGTGGGTAGAGTCAAGAGTCAACTCTTGAGCATGGGAATGATGTTATCCGAAGATCCACATGCCAGCGAGCTTAAAGTCCGAAACAAAGAACTTAGCTGAAGGACCATCAACTTTTAAGAATTTTGAGAATCGATTGAGGTTACTGCAAAATTATCTCAATCTGGACAGTTAATGAAAAGGAGTCCTTGGTGACACGACTCGATTGTGCTGGCAAACATGAAAATTAGAATCCTCCCTCGATCTGGTCGAATCTACATTCCCTATGTGAAGACGCCTTTCCATCTATGTTTCAAGACGGATAGAAGAAAGATTATAGTAGTTAGGAATTTTAGGTAAGGAAGTTGCCTGGTCAGAAATCAAATGTATGCTAATTAAAGCATAGCATTTGCTTCCCTAGCAGGGAGGAGATGTAACGGGCGATAAATTTACTTATTTTTGGAGATGTTGGTATGAATCAGAACAATCGTCATTGTCGTAAAAATCAAGGTTGTTCTTGTGAAACTTGGATTTTATGATTTCACACCATTCTAATCAAGGTTTATAATTTCACAGTTAAATATTGGCGCCGTTTGGCTGGACACGATGTCTTTGTCCAGTTTTATAATTTCATGGTTTAAATTTGTTAATTTTAACAAAAAGCACATTTTGCCACTAAAAATCTTCATATTACAGTTAATTAAGCCTAATTTGGTGGAAACACAAATACTTTTACGACTCCCCAAATAAACTGGTAACTTGTAAACAATTTTGCGAAAACAACTCCTTTGGAGGGGTCTTTACTTATAAAAGATCGAAGGATCCAAAAAAGACCAGAGTCCTCTAGCCAGTTGCCTGTTTAGTGTGTGTTTGTGTTGTGACACAAAGGGGTAAGTGTTAAAATCTCCAACAATGTGCACGATTTCATAAAAAGTTCAAAGTTTTGTTTTTATTAAAGTTCAATTTAATTTTGATGATAAATCGCCCTTTGTATTCTCGATTGGATAACGTTTTGAGATTTAGATCTATTTTTAAAGATTAATTTGCATTGAAATTATTAGTTAAACAGTTATATTGTTTGATGAACGCTGACCACGCAACTACTATAATGTTCCTTACCAAATTTTTGAGTTGTTATAAATGTTTGAGTTGTTACCAAATTTTGAGTTATGGTACCAATTTTAAGTTTTTTTATATTTTTGTTTTAGATATTTTTTAAATGTTTGTTTTATTATGCTTTCAAAGATTTAGTTTCAAAGTTATAAGGTTTTCTTGAATTTATTTAAAAATGTTTTAATACTGAAGTTCATTTTCTGATAATTATATTTGCATATTAAACTACACTACAATTTATTGTTATACCAAATTATTCTCATATGACTAAATCTCTTTTGTACATACTCATTTCTAAATTAAATATAATTATTCATTTAAGCAAAATGCATATACTTGAAGTAGTCCCTTTGTCCAGTCACTAGAATGTGTTACCATCATCACGAACCAGCCTACGAACAAATAAATAATATTTTCACTATATGTCGGGCACAAGGTCCACGACAAGAGTTTTACAGTTTTATATATAATAAATTAACAAAAGTTAATTTTGAAAATCTCCCAAGCCCGTCACACCATATTTACTTGTATCATGGGTCACATTATTTAGGGTTTAGAGCTGGTTTAGACTTTATTAGAGGATACATTGAGGATACAAACCGCACGGCGCCCGAAGCAAAATTGACACCAAACGCCACACACGCGTTTTACTCTTACCAGTGGCGTATCCATAAGGAATTAGGGATTAGAAAAAAAACGACACGTATTTGCCACAGACTTATTTGCTATAAAAAGGCTTTGTATTGTAATTGAAACGGTTATAAGTGTTATAACATACACTTACAGTTAAAAAAATAATTTTAATAAAAAAATATGTACAATCGGTGGACATGGTTGACATGGTACTGGTACAAAACTGTCACCAAAAAAATAAGGAAAACGAAAAATTAATCTTGCCTGTCTTTTTGACGCTGAGGTTATATTAACGTAAGATTTCATTTTATATCGAAATGAAAATCTGAAAAATTAAATTGAATCCATTGCCACTATACGAAACTGATTTTATTTAAAGGTCAGTCGAGTTGCAATCTTTGTATAGTTTTTGCCAAAATTTAAAAAAAAACACTACCTACACTACCTGTTAATTTCAGTTGGTAACAAGGTTGAAAGTTGAAGTTCTGGTGTTTAGAACAATCGACAACAGATGCACTTAGAAGTTATATGGCAAAACGAACTTTTATTTTTTGTTTACAAAAATTAAGATCGGCTCTTCTCAATTTATGTGCCAGATGCAGACCCCCATTTTCCTGCAGAGCATGTAAGGATTCTATACATATATTCTCATGAGATTAATGAACCCTCTTTAGCTTTTTTCTTTCACCAAACACATTCCGTATTAATTTTAGGATATGGCAAGGATAATAGAAAATGTATATCTTATTACCTCATTGCTAACAAAAGTATTTTTAATATAGGGAATGTTGATGCTGCATCCAAATAAATGACACATATCTATATTTGATGGTGCCCCATCAAATATTACGGAGACAATCTTCAAACCTGTGTCTTTTCTTACATGAATGAATAGTTTGTCCCACAAGTGTATGTTTTTGAGAGCCACTCGAAGAACAGCTCGAAAAATAGCTTTTGCACTCAAAGCCCTAAATTTACCTCTTCTGATAATATTTCTTGTAATAAATGCGTTGGTAGAGTCGAATGCAAAAAATTTCTTTTTTGATTAGCAGTAAAATAAAACAATGTTTCTTCAAAATGTTTAGAACATATTGTTATGTCGATCGTTATTTCTGTACCTGCGAGCGCAAAGTGCGTAACTCCAAATGATCAGTTTTCAGTGAGAGCAATTATTTGTGGTTTGTTTTACATACCAGAAAAATTATTAGCTTATTCTAAATATATAATAGAAAATATTGAATATAACAAATAAAAAATTGTAAATACCTGAATTAGACAAAAAAGCGTCAACATTTTTTAGCAAGAAATACCCATTATCCATTTTATGTAAAAATGGAGTTATGCACTTTGCGCTCTCAGGTACAGATTTAAAATCGGCGTTGATAAAGCTCAACAATCAGTGGATTCATTTTTCATAACGTTTAAGTATGCCTCTATAGTGAAATGTACTTTTTGCTTTTTGCTACCATTTTTTATACATTTGATGATTACTGCTAGATATGAAAATTATTTAAGTACCTTTCTTATGTTATGATGTTATGAATAAAAAGTGCAAGAGCATTTTGCGTCTCTACTGGTGACGGATGAAGATTTCAATTAGTTTTGTATTTGCATTGTATGTTAAAAAATTAAAAATGTTCTTCTGTATGTATTCTATCAATTTAATCATTTCATGTGATTTAGTTTAAAAAATTTTGTTATCAGTTTTGAACGTTTCATTTTTAAAATGCTATTTTATTTATCAGTTTGACTTTTGTTTACTTTCAAATTTTCTTGGAAGATATTTTTAGGGTATTTATCTATTTATTTATTTATCTATTTCTATTTTTTTTTATTTATTTGTTTATATTTTTATTTATTTATTGTTATTATTGTATTTACATTTACAAATCAATGTTATGTTTAAATTTATACTTAACTATAATAGTATATATGTCTAATATTTTATATACTTTCTCATAGTGTTTGTGTTTTTATGTCAGTTTCAAAACGTATTTAGGCGATTTGAAACTAACATATAAAATGTAAATATAAACTATATTTTTCCCTTCAATTATAAAAAACTCACCTGAAAAATTTGTTTTCAAATTTGTCGCCAGTTTTAGTTCCCGACCCAGCCAGTAGAGGCTGACAATATCACAATCACAACACGTTTTATAGTGAGGTTAGATATTACAGTATTGAGTATTAGGTTTCAGGATTAGCAGTGGTATTAGAATAATTGCGAAATTGCGAACTAATAAACACAACCAAATAATGGCAACGGACGGTAGCTATATTAATTTGGTTTCTGCATTTTCGGTATATGAAAAACAGAGTCTATCAAAGCAAGAAAAAACGAAAAAGATGCGTAAGTTCCAACGTGAAGTTATATTAAAAGAACCAAAGAAACAAGATCATTTGATTTCTGTTAAAAAATCTAATATGAAAATGGTCAAACATAAGAAATCAAACTCGTCTAGCCTCAGCTCATTGCCTGAACCCAAGAGAAAGAAACTAAAGGAATTCGGAAAAAAAATGATAAAGGCTCACAAACGGTCAGCATCTACAAAGGTTTTAGGAACTTCAGTTCAGCAAACACCAAGTGTATTTGATGATTCTAATGCAAGTGATGATCCCCAATTTGACTCCCTTTCTTTATTTAAGTGGATAATTGACCCAATTGCACCTGAAAACTTCTTTAATACATATTGGGAACAAAGGGTGCTGCATATAAAGCGGTTTAATGAAACATATTATCAGCATGTTTTAAATTCAACTGCAATTGATAAAATTATAAAACATAATCATTTAAACTACAGTAGAAATGTGGATGTAGTATGCTATGAAAATGGTGTAAAAGAGGTGTATAATTTGGAGGGACGGTCAACAACATCTGCTTTGTGGGATTACTACTCTAATGGTTGCAGTATTCGAATTCTTAATCCTCAAACTTACAGTAGTAAAGTTCACTTATTGCTAGCTACACTTCAAGAGTATTTTGGTGCAATGGTGGGAGCAAATGTGTATTTAACACCGCCAAATAGTCAAGGATTTGCCCCACATTATGATGACATAGAAGCATTTATTCTTCAGTTAGAGGGACGGAAACACTGGAAATTATATAAACCAAAGTTTGTAGAGTATTTTGATAGTATGTTAGGTTAATATTATTTATTTTAGGGATTCAGATGTATTAGCAAGATATTCAAGTTCTAACTTAGAATACAAAGATATTGGAGAGCCCTTTATGGAACTAACCTTGAATGCTGGCGAAATGTTGTATTTTCCTCGTGGAACTATACATGAGGGACATACAGACGAATATTCACATTCTTTGCATATAACAGTTTCAGTATACCAACAGACATCATATGCTGATTTATTGCAACATATATTACCTAACGCCTTGAAAAGAGCTGCAGACAGTGATGTCAAATTTCGAAAAGGATTGCCCCTTAATTATCAGAAGTTTAGTGGAAGAACAACATATAACGAAACTTCAAAAGAAAAGGATATATTTAAAGCCAAAGTGGAAAGTTTGTTGCATTCTTTAATGAAATATGTAGACATTGATCTAGCTGTTGACCTTATGGGTAGAAAATTTATGTATGACTCAATGCCACCTGTTTTATCAAAAAATGAAGTAAAACGTTCAAGTGCAGATGGACCATATTTAAATAATGGATGCATTGTTAACAAGTAAGCATATATATATGACAGATTTTGATTGGTCAAAATTATAATGACTTACTGTCTTTGCCATTTCTATTGAAACACCACCTGTTGATTTTGCTTAAAATTTAGCAATTGGTAATAGCTTTCAGTTGATTGACAACGGCTTTTAGTTAGAAAATTGTGTGAATATGAACGTTGCCAAATTTTCGATTAAAAAGTGGTATTTCAATAGAAATGGCAAAGACAATAAGTTTGTTTCTGTTGTTTCTTCCAAAACAAAAGAATAATTTTAGATATGCTGAATGTCTCAGATTCAGTCTTCTGTTTTGTTGTCTAATAATTTCCTTGTTTGAAGTGTTTATATACCGGGTGTCTGGAAAATGGTAGATTACTTTTCAGTACGTTATATACGGGGGTTTCGGGAGTCCCAAAAAAATAATAAAAAAATCCTTTATGACGTAGATTACGAAAAAAACGTAATTTTATAAAAGTAAAATTGGCAACACTGCACACACCTAATGCGTGAATACCTCCGGCTTACTTTCTTCCATAATTAAGCAAATGGTTGACTATGAACCCATTTTAAATCAAACAACACCGCCTCTGATCCTGTGTTGTTGACCGACTGCTCCTGATGTAGTACGAAAAGGATCATGAATGGCTCTTTCGTCGAGCTCTCTTTTGGTGGTAACTCTTTAACATTGGTACAATGAGGCATGCTCCCTTCTGTCAGTCTACCTCCGTGTAAACAGAACTTCCTTTTTCATAACATCAACTAAACTAATAGTTTCCGAACTTCATTTATTTTTAAGTAGAACCTCAAAAAATTGATCTAAAGTTATTTGGTCTGGTCTCTTCACTACCTTGGTGTATAATATACTATTATAACATTTTAATAAAAATCTACACAGACGACAGACAGACAACGGAACAGACAGAAACGGAGAACCAATTGTTTCATATTCTAAACCATGATACAAGTAAATATGACAGCTGTTGTAACGGCTCCAGTTTGACAGTTTTCAAATATTAATTGTTTATTAATAATTACAATAAGTCTGCAAGCTTTGGCATTATCGGAAACATATAACGTAATAATTCATTGGGTGATTTTATAATCGCGGTCGTTGATAAGTACCACACTTGGGCATGCCTGAAATGTTGTCTTTGTGAACCCCTCCGAAATTGAAGTTTCTAAAATATCACTTCAAATGTCACTGAAAACAGTATCGTAGAGCAGAAAATTTTACGTCAACCAAAGTTACATTTTATTGTAGCACCACCTGAATCGATGACGGTTAGCCGACGTCTTGGTATTGATAACACGACCCTCAGCACATATTCTATTGGGATTGCATGCCAGGTAACTGAAATACTTTGTATCAGTTCTTCCCGGTAATGTTGCAAAACCCAAATTAAAAAATTGCCTTGCATTGACTTACCATGGTTGCTGTGGTTGATAACCATGGAGATTTTTACACAAACATTTTCTATTTATATGTAGTAGTGTAATAGATATTTATTTTATTAGGAGTTTAAGTGATACTTTATGTGACGGAGTATGGACGATTAAACGCCGAGCGATAGCGAGGCGAATTAAGTCTATACGAGTCACATAAAGTCACTTAAACTCCGAATGAAATACAATATTTTATTTTCAAACGATTAATCTTCTTTTGAAATGATTATTTCCTATCTTCTTGCTTCATTAAGGAATTGCCTTGATTTCACTTACCATGGTTACTATGGTTGACAACCACTATGATTTTCACATATTTATAATCCGACGGAGTATAAATGTTTTATTTATACCTACACCGGCGGAGTATAAGTAGTACTTATGCACCGCTCAAACACGGTGTCATAGAAATGAAACTTAAACCCTGGTAAGAACGTCATATAGGTGTCAGTTATATGACGTTTGAAAATAAGTAGTATTTATGTGTCCCTCACACACGCTGTCATAGAAATGACATTTAAACCCCGGTAACAACGTCATATGAGTGTCAATTATATGACGTTTGAAAATAAGTAGGATTGTACTGACAATAGTACGCTGGAAGGCGAATCGGTTCAAATCCCCTAAACCCTAAATAATTTGACAAATATTTTTGGCATTGTAAAAATTTCGCGCCACCTCGTAAAAGGCCCCCAACCGTTAAATTTTAGTGATTACAAGAATGCATCTGAATGACAAAAAATTACTCTTAGTCATTTCTAGCTGAATCCAGATGAATCTCTAATGCATAATCAGCAGTTTTTAAATGTAGATTTAAATTTCGCGCGCTCATCGAATAGCCACGTGACGTCACAAGATGCCCGTGTGCAAATCAGATTTATTACTTGTATCATGCTCTGAACGTCAAAAAACATGAACATATATTACAATATTGTCTTTGCCATTTCTATTGAAACACCACCGGTTGATTTTGGTTCAAATTTAGCAATTGGTAACAGCTTTCGGTTGATTGACAACGGCTTTTAGTTAGAAAATTGTATGAATATGAACGTTGCCAAATTTACGATTAACAAGTGGTGTTTCAATAGAAATGGCAAAGACTATACTCGGTTAGTTTACGTTCAGCAAGTAAAATATTAGAATCGATTTTAATATGATTTTAGTTTTGTTAGAAATAGTTCTAATTTTATTATTTGAAAAACTGAGGACTAATTTCCCCTTAATTTATGAAATGTAGTGTTTTATTTATACTAAAAGTGTTGTATACCTTATTTTTTAAGGGTAGAGATCGATTGGCACACCAGGATCCGTTTAGTGCGTTATTATTGCCTACGTCTAGTGAATGAGAGGAATTCTAATCCAAAATTATATTACAATACAGAAAATGGAACAGTTTATCACGGAGAAGAGGAACAATGGCTGGAATTAGAACCTGAAATGATTCCATCAATTTGCATGCTTCAGAAAGCATATCCCTTATATACCGAAGTTGATAAGTTACCAATGGAAGACGAAAGTCTCAAGATGCAGTTGATTTCTGCACTATGGGAACATGGACTAATTGTTGCAGACCAACCGCTAAAAGCATGTGAAAATGAATAATAATTAACAAATTATCTCCCATGCTTTTAGCCTGCGAAAATAAATATTTTTCAAAGAAAAAAATGTATTTCAATATTACTTATTATGTCCTCATATGAAGTGGAAAGCTGATATAGTTACAATTGCAACAATCAAGAATATTTCGAATAGTTATATCTGGAGTCTTTAGGACTGAAGTGAATAAGCGTGAAATAAAATAGCAAATATTTATTTACATTACATTTATAACTTCACACGTAAATGTACAGTTGCTTATTAACAAAAAAATCCTTTAAAATTTGGTTAACACATCATAAATATCTTTAAAAAAAATCCTTAACGTACAACGAAAATAGAACTATATGTATCATACTGTAGGTACATACGTGCTTACACCTTTCATAATCCCTTACATTAAACTAAACAACTAATCCTATGAAATTATAGTATTTGGGATTTCTAGCCCATTTCTTTTCAAAATGTCTCTTAGGGTTCTATTCTCTTGTTCTAAAGCCACATTCTTCTGTTTTAACAAATCAATAGTTTGACTTAATTGTTTATTTTCTTTCATATAATGATCACATTTTTGCTCATTTTCCCGCAATTCAAGAATATATTCGCATGCTTTCGCTAAAATACCACCTTTTGATTGACCATCGTAATGTCCATTCCCTTTCATATCAGGTGGTGCACTTTCCGGTATTATTTTTGATAATTTAGTTATCCAGTTGTTAATTTTGTCTCTTCTTCGCCGCTCCACTTCATTGTGTGTAGCCCTTCGCCTTTCATCACGCTTAAACAAACATTACAGTTTAAATAAATTATAAGAGACCAAATATTAAATCATTAAATATAAAAAATTTGGCCCCTAACGTTATTGAAACATAACGTCCTTCACATCTGAAGTACAACATAAGACATCCAGGCTTTTCAAAAAATGATAAAATTTCAATTTGCGAATTTTACTTTTTATGATTATTCTTAAAAGTTAAAATAAGAAATATGTGTAGTGTTAAAATCGGCATGCTATGTTTCAAGAGAGTTTTACATTACTTTTTTTTATGACACCACAACATTTAAGAACACGTATAACAATTTGGATAGGTGCAGCGCAATACTAATAATAGTACGATATTCCCAAATTTTTGGGGAAATGAAGTGAGCCATTCTTAATTTAATCAATAAAATCCATTTTCTCAATCATTAATTTTTCGGAGTCGCCTGCATAAGCAAATTTAAAAAATGTGAATGCACTGATAAATCACAAGTAAAAACACATCACATTTTGATCATGGAGGTAGAATGAGGGGAGGGAAGATAGCTTGAAAATGCGACTGGTATCGCGCTTTTAAATAGGGTCATAAATGGCTCTTCCAGCTTCTCGAAAAAATCGACTGTTTCAGTGCCGTGATGGAAAGTATTTGCCGGGTACTAGGCATAAAACAAAAATAATTTAATAATACAGAATATAAAAGCAGTAGCAGTAAAATTTACATGAGTAATAAAATACATAGGGTAGTACTCTTGTTGTTAGAAATATCTTAGTTTTTATGCCATAATTAAATAAATAGTAAGATATTTTTACTCCCTATGAACCTATTTTAAACCAAACGGCACCGCCTCTGATCCTCTGGTAATAACCGACCACTTGCGATGTGGTACGGAAAGGATTATAAATAACTCTTGCGTGGGGCTGTTTTGCTGCCATTCCTTTAACATTGGTCCAATGAGGCATACTCCCTCCTGTCATCCCACCTTCATGGTTTTAATTAAAAATTTACCATCCTTATAATAACTCTAAAACGTCTGCAAGATTTCAAAGGCAGCAGTTCCTGATTTAATCAATAAAATTAATGGATTCATTCATTTTTTTAGTCATCCTGTATAAACAAATCTAAAAAATATGATTGCAATGAAAAATCACAAGACTCGTCATATTTTCCACTTTTTTGATACGACCGTATGGATCTATTCGGGAAAATTTTGAGGTGAGGTTCTGACGTTATAAATTTTTTGGGGAGATTAGCAAATACATTTTCATTAAAAATTTACCGTGCTTGTAATAATTTAAAATATCTGCAAGATGTCGAAACATTCGGTTATGTTGTTTATAATTTTCCAAAAATTTTGACATTTCAGGTAAAAATTCAACACGGATACATAAACTACACGTGCACGACTATGTTATTTTATATAACTTAAAACCCATTTCCTATGTACAATTTTGAGTTGACGTCATCACATTGTTGGTGGAGATGTTTAAACAAAGTTTGGTTACCGTTTTCACATGTACATGATATTCATAATTAGACAGCGGATGACCGTTGGGCGAGAAAAAATCAAACTCGGTACGGCTCGTACGGGATGTGAATTCAGTGCAGTTAGGGGCTGCACATCGTTTATTTTTAAATAGAATAACGCTGCTTCGTTGCACTCTGCTGTTAATTCCCATTCTCATTTACCTAGCCGTTTTAATAATTAAGTCCCGGCGATCCAGCGTCTCCCCATCTATAGTCGTGACGTAGCCCGACAGAAATCCGCTCTCTATTCATAATTCACATATAAAATTTGACAACAATCAATCTGGTAATTTCGAAGATTATCTGTCTAACAAAAATCGACACAGACGGTGGACGGAAAAGCGAGTTCCATTTTTCCAAGAGACCCATTGAGAAAATTTGAAAGCGGCCAGTCACCCGAGGGACTCGATTAAAATACTTCCTTAGTTTCCTCTTAGGAAGTAAAAATTTGGCCCACAGCAATTATATAGATGTATTTAGATACTTACCCGTTTAATATTAGTAACTACTGAAGCACTGCCATCAATTATTGAAGATCTTGGAGCAATAGCTCTAGCACCTGCTTGAGTTGCAAAAACTTCATTTGGATTTCCAATAACATAAAGTTGTCCATTTAAATTACTTGTTAGCACCTGTTGAACATTTGTATTAGAAAAACTGTTACTAGTTGTCACAATTTGGGGCACAGGTTCTGCACCTTCTTCTACTTGAAGTACACGGTATGTTATCATACCTACGAATGTTCAATTTAGTATCCTATACACAAGGTGAACATGATTACCTTCAGGCGATCTTAAAGAGTATTGTACTTCAGTATCAGCAGGAGTTTCTAAAAGTGTTTGAGGTGAAAGATGATCAACAACATTTTGCTCATCATCACTTTCTGTTGAATGCTTTGATATAACATTATCATTTAAAATTACTTTCGTCTCGACTTCGTCAACTTCTGCGCTAAAATTAAGGAAACGTGAGTTAGAATAAGTTTCTATAATAACAGCTAACAACGACTTTAATCAACTAATTCTAAAATGACCTTGCCCCTATCAATGAAAGGATTACATAACGAATACATAAAAAGTACTTGGATGGAAAAAACGGGTAAATTTGGATTATTACCTCGAGTCCAGTGGATCTAACATATCCATATTAAGGTTAAGTGTATGATTTGATTAAATTTTTTTGAATTTTCCTTCAATTTTGGTCACGGGGACAAAATTGGTCATGTGATATGACACATATGACACCAATTTTTGACAATTGACGACACGCAGGCGTGAACACTGTAATATTCCATTGAAAATTCTTCAACATAAAAATATAAAATAACTAGACGTAAGCAGTCTACCATAGACAAGGGAGTTGTTGGTTGAGCTGATATGTGGCAGTCTACAAACCAACATACATGCAACATACAAAAAGTCATAAAAATGAAAAAATGTCAAGCATACTCATTATACAGAAACATGTTAACGAAATTAACATTTCGAACTTTTGCTTTGATAGTTAAACGTTAACCTAGTGTTGTTACTGCCGGCTATTTTCAAAAATAACTTTAATAGTTGAATATTTATCCCTGACAACAGGCACAATTCTAAATCAAATCTGTTAAAATTTAAGGGTTATTAAAAAATAAGCAGCCAATAATCAGATTTACGAATTTAACTCGTTACTATTAAAATTTGCAATTTAACATCCTTTAAATTTGACAAGTTTTTACAGAATTTCCCCTATTGTCCGGTTAAAAATTTGGAATTTTTTGACACACTTTATCTACATAAATCTAATCTGCTAAAGAATTCGGATAGGTATTCAAACCTTCAAAAGAAGATGAATTAAATAATTATATATTATATTTATTTATGAAGATTTGATTTATTAGTATTGAGCTTTAGGTGGGAATACAGTCGCAGACAAAAGTTAACGGCAAAGAAACGTCATTTGCGTCAACATTTTCAGGAGATTCGCCTATTATAGTATTTGCCAAAATTAAAAAACCTTGAAAATACAACTGACAGCCCCACCGAACATTTTAATTAGTTTTTTTTTTTTAATTATAACAAATATTTGACATATTTGAAGTCTTTGATTTTGACAAGTTGACAAGTTTAATTGATTTTTTGATTATCACGTAGGTTTGATGTAATACTGGTTGCATACTCCCAATACATTGACCACAGTATAGATATCAATCAGTACGGACAACTCGTGTCGGCGCCTTTGATCTTTCTGATCCGAATTTTATGCCGTCATCGGTGGTCGTTGCCCAAAATATTTCTAGATGTCGCCACCAAATTTAAAAAAAATCACAAACGCTTCATTTTAAAATTGATTCGTGTACACAATTTACTACACTTTGTGCAAATGAATTTTTGGAAAAGAATTAAAAATAGTGTAATAACAATAACATTTTGTAACTAGTTGATCTTAGAAACCACAGAGTCTATTATAATAAATCTAATACTATTAAACGAGCAAAGTTTGTATATATATATGTAATGGGTTTCTCGAAAACGGCTCTAACGATTTCGATGAAATTTACAGGTTAGGGATTTTTTGGGTCAAGAAATCGATTGATCATAGTTCTAACTTCTGAAAATTACAGCTTCATGCATTTTCAGCAATTTTCAGGCAGTGAATTATATTTGTTGCTAGGCAACATCAGATGACACTACACGAACACGAGATTGTTTTATATGAGAAGTTTGGGTGACAGTCTGACAGTACGTTTGACGTACCTTTTTATCTTCAATTGTACGTACCGAAACATGCTCCACTGTATAGAGGACGTTGAAATTCACCTCCTGAGGTGAGAAAATTTACCAAAAACTAAACAGTGAGCGGATAAAAGGCACACGAAAGTGTGTTGAATTGAGATTATTTTGTCAAGCATTCATTTCAGAGGTTCCACGGTCAGTGTCAACATGTGATCGTTTTCGGGGATGGGACCGTGTTATTTGAGTTTTTGGGCTCAACGTTTCGCACACTTTCGTAAATGGCATCTTCGGGAGCAGGGTTGAGATTGAGAAATTAGGAATAACACAAAAGAGCACGGTAACTCAGTATGTTAACCACACCAGAGGCGAAACTCTTCTGGCAGTAAGAATGTGGTTGTGACCTTTTTCTAGAGTCGAGAGAGAGAACTAGGAAAAAAAAAAACGACAGAGAGAAAACTTGGGTAACAAATGAGATGTCAAACAATAATTCCAGTTTTCTGTTCTTTAATCTCTACATGTCACTTATCAGTGTTTAAAACAAAGACTGCTTATGGAATTTCTTTTTTAATGTGTATTTTTAAGTAGCGCGTGTACTTCAGAATGCATACTATACGCATATTTATCTGTCCCAATCTGATCTAATACTACCAAACGAGCCGAGTGAAACTCGGTCAACCAGATATTAATTAATTAAGCGCCCTATAACAGAGATGCCGTGTTGAAATTTAGATGTGGCCCCGCTTCTCTGATTACGATTTTATGTTTCATTAATTTCTTTTTCATAATGGTTGTAAATGGTTGTAAAATTCAACGTTATTAGAAAACGCTAATATATGTACATTTAATTAAAAAAAAAATAAATAAACAGTAAACAATGATCCTATGAAAACGTGAACAACGCTTTTTAAAATGTCTGTGAAAATTACACTTAACTGCAATAATAACACCGGAAGATCAGCCTTAAATCATCAAAACCAACGCAACTAAACTGTCAAATTTCAAATACTTATTTCACATTAAAGTTACTAGATAACCAAAGTACCGCAGTTCAATGTCCCAGTGTGTAAGAAAGAGAAGTGCCATCGAGTCACATTGGAAGTACCTTGCGTTGCGCGCCCTCATACGGTCACAAGACAAACGACCACCCATGAAAACGGGTCAGCAAAAATAGCGAGTTGTCCTTACTGAATAATATCTATGCTGTGTCTAGGGTTACTTCTGCTTATACACAACTTCCCTCGCGTTTGAAATACAGTCGAACTAGATAATGCCAACGTGGTTGGCGAAACGCGTCGACAATATTTTGTGTTTTCGGTGTTGTGGGAATAAACGTTCTATAAAATACAAAATGTTCGAAGAATTATAAAATTTAATTTTGCGAATTTTATTTTTATTTCCTGAACATAAGCAAAGAAAGTATTGTAATCGAGTTTATCAAGGGGCGACTGGCTACTTTTATGTTTTCTCGACATTTCATGACCCATAGAGTATGAAAAATTAGGTCTCCTGGTTTTCAGTCTGTGTACCGTCTGTTCAGATTTTTATTGGGCAGATAATCTCCTAAACTACCAGACCGATTATATTTTAGGTGTATGTTGTGGTGACCGAATTTACATCAAAATTTTCGCGCTGAAATTAATTAACAGCGATTAATTTGAAAAAAAAAATTTCAATCACAAAAAAGAAATCATTGAACATAGGCAACCAAATATGCACGGTAACGCTTGCAGGAAAGCTGGACAGTTTGTAGCGCTAGGGGGATTTTAGTTAGAGGGTTGGTTGGTTGCTTGGTAGACAGAAAGGCGGCATGTCGAAAGCGGGAGTCATTATCTTTATGTTCGGTGTAATGAATGCATGGTGAAAAGACGCTGTAAGTAGCTAGGTTTAAATTAGCTCAGTTTTCCCCAACCTGCGCGACTAATTCTTGCGGCCTTTTAATGGAAAAAGTGCGGACTTCTGTTCAACGCGAAACACGTGTTGTAAATTTGTTTTATTGTTTGTAAATTCACCAGTCAAGTTAGTTTTTCTTAATCGTCAGCTAGCGCTAACACAGTTTAACAATTAGGATTATTTTAATAAACCTCTTGCTAGAAGATTTCATGAAATTCACTTAGTCAGGAAAACACCTTTGTTGTTTAATTACGAATAGGTTTCTGGATGCATATACGTAAGAGTTACATTATAACACTTCTTAATTCTTCACATAAGATTGCTAATGGTTCATTTACGGCAGTTAAACAAAATTCATTATACTGCGAACTGGCGGGGGGTTAAAATAATTTCTTCCCTTAGGCGGTTATCATCGTTATTATCGTCGTTTTCATGATTACATCATCGAGGCTTGTCTTCGCAACGTTAAAGATTGATTACTTCATCGAGGCATGCCCTCACAACGCTACAGATTGATTGCTTCATCGAGGCATGCCCTCACAACGCTACAGATTGATAACTTCATCGAGGCATGTCCTCGCAACGCTAGAGATTGATCACATCAACGAGGCTCATCACTCGCAACACTAACATTACATCACCGAGACGCGTTTTCCTGGCAACGATGATTGGATGTTTTTGTGTCTGTTTATTATGTGTTTTCTTGGGGTAACCAGTTCGCGGTATTCTAAACTCTCAAAGTAAATTGCTTTTTTTTAGTAACCAATCACTTAGATCATGATATAATTCGAATCAAACAAAGTGTTGTGGCAAATATTAATATCATGTAAATTTTGTTAACTTTGCAATTTTTCACCTCATACAATATTTCTCTAATCTCACAGTTTTAACCTCTGTAATTTCCCTTTGTTGTATAATTTTCATTGGACGTAAATTTCATGCTCGACAGTTTTAACCTCATTTTTCAAAAAAAAACACAACGTAGGTTTCCATTTTGTTAGACGGTCACAGCCAAGGCCAAATTTTGAATTTTTGAATTTTTCGCGGGCCTTTCAAACTTTTTTTCAAGGTCAATTAAAGGCGGAAGTTTGGGTTATCACAATGTTAAGAATATCGTGTAGATAGTAAAATGCTAATCAAAATTTGCCCAATCTCGTATCAATGTCATGAGTTCTCAAAATAGTTTATAATAAATTTCATAAAATAGCATACTCTTGTATTTGTTTTATTAAATACAAATTCGTAAAATCAAATTTTTTAATTTTTTAAAGAAGCGGGATTTGTGGTACTGTACTTCTGGGGCGAGGGAAGTCCTGTCGAAATAACTTTCGACCAGTTTTTTTTATTGTTACGCTACGGTTTAAATGACATTTTGCAAGACAGAATATCCAATTTATTTCAAAATCAACAATTATTGCAAAGTAATTTTTATTAACATTAAAAATAATATATCCAATTTGAACCACTGGTTTGCTATTTTCTTCTACATATAATGTTTTTCATAACTTGGTCTCTCCTCGGAGTAGAATCTCCGGCAAATGTAAAATTTTCCTCAATATTTTCTTTTCTAATGTTTTCCACAACTTGGTCTCTCTTCCGAGTAGAATCTCCGGCAGATGTAGAGGATTCGTTATTACCGATTTTGTTGGAGGCATCAATTTTGTTATTTATACTATCTTCAATGTACCCTTCCGTCGCGGTACTAGATTTCCATCCCCCGTGACGTTTGTTAGAAATTAGGTGTCCTGCATTTGTCAAAACAGTGACAGAACTCCTTCTGAAGCAATGCCCTGTGTATCTTTTAAAATTTTCTTTTCTTAGCCACTTTGCATTAGACTCGCTGTTTCTCTTGTTTTATTAATGCCTACATTTGCGATTAATGTATTTATGGAATAAACGCTAACTTAAGACATGGAGCGTCCGCAGAGCTCTATGTTTTCGATATATTTCTATATATTCAGGACGAGAAATCGTAAACATTTTCTCAGAGTGTGTTTTTGAATCTGGTATTCTGACAATTAACAAAGACCCTACATCTTCAATGTTATCAATCGTCATCCATACGATTAGTAGTACCTGCAACAAATATTTAGATAGGTACAAGAGAAGAATTAAACGTTCAAAAAATGTATAAACATTTTTTTTAATTCTATTGTAGCCTTTGCTTCTCCAAAATTAAATTGTGTCGTATTAAATTGGAATAAAAAATATTCTAGGGCCGATGTCATTGCAGGAGAAAATATGTTTACCGTTCGTAGAACATCTTCTCAAATGAAAATGAAAATGAACTAAAAATATGTTTTTTTAGTGAGAAACAGAACTGGTTTAATGAAACAAGTTTTCTGTGAATAATATATTTTTTCAGGTATTTCACTGTTATTGTACTTGCACTTGAAACCATGTCACGATCCAAAAATATCGAACGCGCATTCTTAACGATGTGACAGTAATCAAAACTAAAAAATAATGGAAGCGCAGGGTTATTTAGTGGATGAGATATTTTAGTCTTCACTTGACCTTCACACAATTTTTTGAAAAGAGCCACATTTGTTTTGTGGTTATCTGTAACAATTCTCAAGATTGTGAATCCTTAAGCGTCCACTTTGTTTATAATTTCAGTTGTCATATCATAAAAGCGTTTTGTGTTCAACGTGTTGTGAAAAAAATATCCAACAGGGATGGTAAATTTGGTTGACATGCTAGGAATAACGAAACACAGTAACTTGTTGAACAAGATAAGCTTTTTTCTTAAAGGAGCTTCTGTGACATTACATAATCCATGAACTTTCAGGTTGTTTTGTTAGTTTTTGGTGCTTGTCGACGCAAGGAGATTACAATTTTGACGACCCGAGACGTTAGAGACGAAGGAGAATTTATCAAGAACACCTTACCGAATTCAAAAACTAAAATTATGCAGAAACATATGTTGAGACATCGGAAGAAAATAAGAAAATAATTGCTACGAAAATAATGAGTTCTTCAGTTGCTGTGGGTTCAACACATAACGTCACGGTTTAACAAATAACGGTGGAAAAGCCCAGCTTTAACATGGGAACAGTGTTTAGAGTTAACTTTACAAATGTTTCAAACTGTATAATTTATGTTAATAAATAGTCAGTCTTTATTGCACTAATGTGGTAAAACTAACATTACAATACCAAAGAAAAACTTGTAATCTGATACATTACGGAATGAAAGCAGATAAATCAATTTTACGTTTCAATATACTATGTATAGTATCTTACGCATTTTTTTTATGCTGTTTGTTTTTGTGTGTTATTTTCAAAACGTATTTAGGCGTTTTGAACCTAGTATATAAAAATTCGCAAATAATGTCTTTGTGAACTCGTCTGATTTTAATCAATAACTCAATTCCGGACTAGTCATGTAAAGAAAAGCTGTCAAAATTTCAATTTTTATTTCTTATGTTAATAAGTATTTCCCCTTGAATTATAAAAAATTCACCTACAAAATTCACTTTCAAATTTAGTGCCGTTTCTAATCCAGTTCTAGTTGCTAAGCCAGCCACTAGAGGCGCATATAGTGAACAAAATACAAGTATTATAGAGACTGCTCTACGGGAGGATATTCTATTATGTTGACACAGCTGTGACTGTCGCTGTACTATAATCGTTGGTTACCGTACTGTTGCTCATTGTTGGAGGTGTGGTTGCAGAATTGAGTTGAATGTGATTAGTGATAACCAAAACTTTTCGCTCAAAATCGGCTTAAAATGTGTAGAGTAAAATTTAGTCGTGGTGTGTGTAATAGTTTTGTTTTTAGTTAAGTGAAAGTGTTCAGTTGAAAGTTGTATCATGTCTCTTTTCAGTTAGGTTATGCTTTGATGGTCTTTACAACCACAATATCTATCCCCGGCAGGGCTTCTTACGTTTGAAATGAGTAGTTGGGCAGCAAGAATGCATAGGCGAGCTGCCACATTTAGTAATGTAGTCACATCGTGTGGTCACCCTTCAGGGCCATACCCTCGTCGGTTGGAAAAAGTCAAATTTGGAGTATCTCTTGAAGAAGTTTGTAAAAATGACATTCCGGGACCACTTCTTGTAAGTTTATGAAAAAAATACCAGATACAGTAGGACTGCAAGTACTGTCTCAATTGTTAAAGCACGTGTTTTGGGTTTTATTTATTTATTATGATAAATTTTCACAACGTATCTGTTTTGATTGGTCATTAAACATTTTGAATTACTAATCTGTGGAGGTAAATATTTTGTAAGTTTTGTGTATTATAAATTATTCTTGGTCATACCAAATGTCTATGGTTGCGATATTGAACAAATTTTACATTTTTACATATTTATTGTATCCATACTGGACGGAAAAAACGAGGAGCCTGACTGTAAAATTAACAAGTAAATCACCATCATCGGCTACAAATGTTCCAGTCATTGACAGAAAATCCTGGACGTCAGTGACATACTATCACAACGTGTAAATAAAACACTCTTGACCTTATTTTTTTAGTCCTGTCATTTTTGACACTGCAGGCATGCTGATAAGTGAATGCGACGTGACAAATCTTTTAAACTTCGATCATCAAACTGACAAGGTGTAGGTAGACTGTTTCATAATTTTCAAAATGACAGAAAAATGACGTCCAAGATTTTCTCCAACATTGCATTCTACCTTGAAAATACAACCAACAACACCGCAGCATTAGATTTGAAGTTTTTTAATAGGGGAAAAAAAGATAGGTTATAACACATTTCATAGAGGACAATAAACGCAAATTCTACAAACGTTAAAATAATTGCGTTATAATTTGTTTGTATTTGCCTGTTTCGTGATGACAACCTTGACGTTCGTTGAAGTTTCAACGGTATAAAACGTAATGCCGTTCTAAGAATATGAAAATCACCACTGGTTTTTTTTTGGTAGCAGCTAAAATCAACAGGTGGCGATTTTTTAATTTTGGCAAAAACTATATTTGTAACCAATTTAATAATACCAGTAGATTAGTCCTGTTTTTTTATAAATCGAACTTATGTTTTGAATTAATGTCTCTGTTAATGATATATCAAAATTTCTCATCGTTAACTAAAAATTCCAAATTGTTTTATTTCATATAAAATTAACCTTTTTTTTAACTGTGACGCTATTTATTATTTCCAGGTATTGATTTTAAAGTTGAATAAGGAGGCCCCTTATCGTAAAGACGTGTTTAGGGCTCCTGGACATCAGGGTGCAATGAAGAAACTTATACACTTCCTACAGACTGGTAGATTAGTTAATATGGACAATTTTAGTGTGTACACAATTGCAAGTGTTTTAAAGAAATTTCTGCGGAAGATACCTGGTGGAGTATTTGGCAAGGATGTAGAACAAAGGTTTTTTCAAGTTCTTGATATTGTCGACGATCGGGAACAACGGTCAGAAATTGAGAAGTAAGTTTACAAATTTTTCTAAACAATATGATTTTCATTTATAAGGATTTAAGCAGTACTTCACATTTTTTTTTATTTTTTCCCTAAAACTACGAGTACTGTTATAGCAATGCTACAAAGAAATTAAGTAAACTGGAATTTTGCAATAACTAAGATAAATTTGGACCCACATTTAATTATTCTTTGCAAAGGATACTTGTGCGGAAATTTAAAGTATAATACATATTTTCTTCGATTTCGCAGAATAATTAGAATGATGCTAATATACATTTAAATTCATTGACGTGAAATAGTGTCCCGTTACCTATGAATGAATGTCTATTGTACTTGTTAAGGTTACTCCACAGGTTGCTCAAACTAATTAATATCCTGTATGTACATACCTTACAAGAGAGAAATCAACATAATGAGCTAAATAAAGATAGAGAATAATACATTTTTGAACATTTGTGTGATATTTCTGCCGAGAAAATGCCCGTTGAGATTCATATAAAAAATCCTGCCACTTTTCTAAATAAGTTACTGCTATCAAAAAGCTGTACGTGAATAGAAAATATTGGTGATATCTGTATTTTTACGTCAGAACATGCGTCAAGAAGACACGAATGTCATGAGAATTCAGACTTACATATATATAAACACAATAGTAAGTGTTTGTAGCTTAGAGGAATTAATTCATTTTGCAGTCTAATATTGACGTTATTCGTTTTAGTTTATTTTAATGTAATGTATGAATTTATTTTTGAAACAACATGCCCTTGAAAGGAATACAACGTGGATCTAATCTGCAGTCTGTTGCCAGATCCCAATACAACACGTTCTTGGTGGTGTGTCCATTGTCTTCCGAAACAGGGCGACCGTCGAAAAAATGTGTTTAGTCAGGGCTGAACGTAGAACCTGAACGTGTTAATTTACTGTTTAACAAAGTATCCTCCTTAGTTTCATTTTCTTTTCCATTTAGTACCGACATGGGTTAATAAACAGGATCATGTGCCTAGGTTTGATCTGAAATGTAACGAGTTTTCACAAAACCAAACCAAAAAATTACATTGTTTAATAAACACAAAAATTTGAGCACGCGTAAAGCCTTTATTTTAAATAAGAAAATATGGTCATAGATTTACCACATAACACATCCAAGTTATTTAAAGAGGTCAATCGATAAAAAATGATGCAGAAGAATTTATCTTAAAAACGAATTATATTTTAAACACCAAGATAAAGTTACCTTAAAATAAAACCACATTAACGTCTAAAACTAGCTGCAAGATTTTGCTTATTTGCATATTTGAAAATAAACTAAAATATAATTCATCCTCACTTGTAGCACTTCCAAAATCATCACCAATTTCTATTCTAATTTCTGGTACTGCCCTTCTAATAATATTTCTTATCAACTCCATTCATTCATAACTTTTTTTTCCATGCATTTGCTTTACACTTCTTAAACATTGCTCCCACATATGCATCACTCCCACATTATCATCGACATAACCTTCTTCACGCATGTGTTTAGTGTAGTAAGTCGCAGCATTAGCAAGATCACTATGGGATGAAACCTCTTCCAATACAATCAGTGAACTTCTCATCACACCATGTAGTGAACATCTCGGCATGGATTTCTTCGTGATGGTCCCTTACATTTAATTTCTATGAAAACAGCAATCCAGTATGACCTCATGGTCTTCTAACTCTCTTAGTGCTACCATCTTGTTAAGATCTTATGGCATTTCGCATAGCAAAAACTTATATTTCATCTAAGAATGACACATTTCTCTCGAACTCGGATTCTAAATTTTCTTTGCGTTTCCGTAAAAAATGAACCGCACGGCAATACGTGGTTTCTTCATTAACACTCTTTGAGTGTTAATAAGTGAAACAACAGACGTCGGAAGAGAGCTCACACTCATATTAAATTTAATATAAATATTATATTATTATAATACAATGACCTGCAAAAAAAAACGGTCACCCTGGAAAATTTCGCAAAACCACTTTAAAAATTATTAATTTAACCAGTGATCGAGGATGGTCGTATTCAGGGCTATGCACACTTTCAGGGTGGCTTATTGTGAGCTATTCCCCATTTTTTTTATTGCATATATTTCGAAATCAGGCTGTATAGCAAGCAAGTCAAGCACCTCAACGAGAACTAGTACAAATCAGTCTGTAAAAATGTATAGAAAGATTATATAATAGAGATCCGTATAGTTTGTTAGACTTCAGGTTGCGGCAGCTGAATGAGTGCTACATTTTGTGACTAAAAACGAAAAATCTATTTTTTAACTTTAGTGTGTCTTTAATGAATTAAAAAAAAAAAACAAGCTCTACAAAAATCTGTAAAAAATATATAGAGTATCATTAAAAAAAAATTGGATGTCGTTGACAAAAAAAAAAAGGATGTATTTTGCTTTTTACACTTATTACTGAATATAAGTGTATATAATTGTGTTAATTAAGTAAAAACAGTTACTTAAACATGAAATTTATTAAACAATAACGAAAAAATTATCATCGGCCTAATTTTCAAACTGCGTAACTCCAAACTGACACTATATTTTAAATACAAAATAATATCAGATTATATCGTCACGAAATGTTTAATCGACGGCTGAACTTCGCTCTTTGGAAACTACGTCCAAGTGGCCCGGTTGGGTTTTTACTTCTACAATGTGAATTCAAACCATACTGAATAAAGTTTAACATTATGATTAAGTTCGTAAGTATAAGTTTTAAGGATACTGAACGGCCTTGTGTACTAGTCTTAAGATATATATGTATTCCAGTTATTACTATATTTTACCATGTAGAGATGAACATTAAATATTTATAAAATAAAGAAAATTGTAGAGAGACAGCCAACATTCTGTAATAATATATCTGAATGTCTGAATGATCTTATAATGCCTTAAATACAATCCGGTATGTACTTAGTCAAGCCTAATGAATGTTTTTTTCAGTATTATAACATCTTTGCCAATCTACACACAAAGACTGCTCGTCCTACTCTTCGGAACATTCAGAGTGATAGCCTGCAACAGTGAAAAGGCCGGTACTGGTATGACCAGTGAAGCTCTTGGTGTCAGTGTAGCACCGAGTTTTTTTCATTCCTGCGTGAGTGATGGCAAGGCTGCCAGAATGGAAGATGTGATGAAATTTAAGGTATATTTTACTTTATTTTAAATGGGAACTTTTGTTCTTCTAATTTATCGACTAAAATTTGTAATATTTTGAAACAAAAATTGATTAAATTGTAATGTTTCAATAATATTTTTTGGTGCTTCTGCTGTACAATGCTTTCTGTTTGCAACAAGGCCGAGGTCAACGTAAGTTACGTTTTTATTTTTGAATGTGAATAACGTAATCTATAAGCAATCCATTTTTTGTACTTTCATAATAATAATAATAATAAAAAAATTAAGCGTCGCAATGAATATTCTTCCAGTTCTGTGACAAGTTGCGTATAATTGTAAAGATTAAAGATATGCACAGTTCCATGAAAACTTTGCCACGATTTTTGGTTGCATAATTAAAAGCAGCATACACACTTTCTTGTAATTCAGTACAAGGTTTATTTTTAGTTGACGATGTTTGAAAGAGGGTACACCAAAAGTGATCCATTGATTTTCGAAAATATTCGGGTGAGTCGTGTTAATGTATACCGGGTGTCTGGAAAATGGCGGATTAACTCGCCTCTACGCTCTTACAATCAACTGGTGAGTCTGGGAAAAGTATTAAAAAAAAATCCTTCTCTCATTTGGGTGGAGTTATAACGATTTTAAAATTGGTTATTTTGCTACGGTTAACAACTAAACAACACATTCATTATCACAGTAACTAGTAATAAAACTTTTAGTTAATATTTTTCTCGCCCATGACCATGTTTAATTACCATTTCAGTTAGAATGCACAAAGATATGGCTGTGTTGTTTTTGTAATAATTTGATAAAATTCCATTTGATAACAGTTTGCCTGATATAAAGCGAAGGTGGATTTCAGTTACCATCGTTACTAAGAAACGAGAAAGTAAGCCGGAGGTACTCACGCATTAGGTGTGTGCAGTGTTGCCAATTTTACTTTTATAAAATTACGTTTTTTTCGTAATCTACATTATAGAGAATTTTTTTATTATTTTTTCGGGACTCTCGAAACCCCTATATATAACGTACTGAAGAGTTAATCCGCCATTTTCCAGACACGCGGTATATTTTAAAATTTAAATAATTATTTTGTCATAATAAAATTTACTTACATAACGTGATAAGGTCATTTTCACGAATGTTTAAGTTCATATTTACACGACATTTTACAGCTTGCAAAATACAAAAGTTTCAGTATTGTAATCTCTTTTTTTGTTGCATTTATTTTTCCATCTCTTCCAACCATTTGTTCGTTCATTTCTTCTATTGTTGCATTCATTTTCTCATCTCTTGGGTCCATCTTTTCATCCATTTTTTGGATTCTTGCATCCCACTCCTAACACCAATGTTACGATGATCGTAATTAAAATCGGCGTGGGTGAAACTCAACAATTTATTTCTGGGTAATACTAATTTACACGACTAACTATACATCGATTATATACAGAATAATTCCGACTTGGCTGGAATGGATTTGAGTAGACTCATTCTCTCATTTACTGAACTCTACTCGTTGAATGAATGAATGTTCCCGACGGTAGTCCCTCTTTAAACAATCATCCGTTTCTTTGGATGGTTACGGACGCCGCTTCGAGGTTGTTCTGAGACCCTCCATCGATAGTTCCGGCAACCCCCTCCATACTTTTTTTTATGCGGATGCCGCCTAGCCGCCGTCACCGATGATGAGTCCCCCATCATCGCCGTACATACTAGAAACCCTCGAGAAAACCATAGGCGTCGTACCGGGGCGGCGTATGGGTTTATTTTGTAACAATATCTCCAACCAAAGACATCTGTCGAAGAGTATTTCTTACTTTTTAGTTTATTTTAAGCAATGTAGCAGAAAAATGTAATCAACATCTTTTAATTGTAAGTGATTTTTAATTTATATCAGACATTTTTGTTTTATCGAGAGTGCCTCAAGGATCGGTTTTTGGACCTTTTATGTTTGTGATCTACCTAAATGACATCGTCAATGATATATATTTAAACATTCTCATGTATGCGCATAATTGGAAAATGTTTAAAACGGTTTCCTACACTGAAGATTGTTATATATGTATGTGATCACCAAAAATTTCTTCAATGAACCAGTTACAATTGTCTTCCCGTAAATTTAAACAAACGTTAAGAAAATATAAAAAAAAAACGCTGAAAGTTGCAGAGCGGTCTTTGCTAAATTGATTTTATTATCAAATAATTAATAAGTTCCAAATAAGACAAAAAAAAAAATAAACATAGCTTTGTAACTATTTCACAAAGATTTTTAATAAGTGGACGAAAGTATTTTTGTTAACACATAAAAATGCATATGCAAAATTCCTTCCTTTAATATTTGAATTTCTTAAATTTTAGATTTTCGTTTTCTTTTCGAAATAAACCTTATGTGTTAGGAAAAATGAAGTTTACATTTGTAATTAGCAATACAACAAATGTGCAAAACAGTTGCTAATATAAAAACAACAGTTCTTTAATATCTCAATTTTGCAGGCCTGTGAGATTAGTGATTGGTGTACTCAGAGACTTTAATTACATTCGCATTCGCGCACTCGAGAAAATTAAAATTGTCGACAATCTGAAATGCACTCGAAATATTTGATAATTTTACCTTTGTTGTAATTTTTTTTAAGTAATACTATGCGCCTTGCCTTTATCCATGACCTTACTAGAAATGTATTGTTGTTAATTTTATTCCTTGCTACTAGTACGAGGAAGTTCTATCATATCTAAACACAATTTCTACTTACAGCCGCACTGTACCTCTAACACAAAACAAAATTCAATTCTTTTGTTCACTGTAAAATTAATTAAAATTACTTTCAGGTTTTATACTCTTTATTGGGGATACTTACGTTCTATGAGGTAAGAGCCCCAACTTTGTGTGAAATTGACTAATTTAACTAACAAATTTCATAACAAAAGTAGGAACATAAATTCAAAGTGAGTGTCTTTTACATTTATTACAGAGCTAGATATTATTATAATTTATGTATTACCATTAAAAGGATGTTTTAAAAGCAGAATTGAAAAAGCAGCTTGAATTTGGTTCCATTAAAGAACGCAGCACGTTTTATACATTCAGCAATTATTTTCCACTGTGATTGATCCAAAAATAAAACATGTACAATGGGCGTCGTCAAATCTGGGCCAAGTCTATCATTTTCACTAAGAATTTCTGTAAAACGAGCTTTACCAACTAATAACGTTAGTTTTAACTTCTGACATTATTTTTCATTAAACTGTCACTCAAATTGTAGATCTTAATAATAATTATTAATAACATGTGAGCCACAAAATTTGTCTTCACAGTAGGCCGTGGACTAATTCAATCACGTCGTTCCATTCATATTTTTTTGGATTTGTTTATGCAGGGTAACCCCAAAAAAATTATGAATGAGTCAATTTATTTTATTGATTTAATCAGGACTGAATGCTTTGAAATCTTGCAGACGTTTTAAAGTTATAGTAAGCATGGTAAATTGTTAATCAAAATCTATCTGTTTATTCCCCCCAAAAAATTGATGATGTCATCTCAAAATTTTTCTGAATAAATTCAACCCAAAATGTGCAAAATACCATTGCATTTATATTTTTATATTTGCTTAAACAGGTGTCTCAAAGAATTAATGAATGAGACAATTTATTTTATCGATTAAATCACTCCATTTCCCCCGAAAATTTTGGAAATCCAATACTGTTATTCTTAGTATTACAATGTTAGTATTACTATCCGTAATAATCTCCATTTTGTTGCAAGCCTCTGTTCTTTAGTTTCGCGCTTAGTAATACTTCAGGTATAAGAAATAGCATTTATGAACAGTTTGGTTGGCCTTGTAGAATTTGTATTACTAACCATAACTGAAAACTTACAGACATATTTCTTAGTTTTCACAAAAATAACTTTTCATGGTAGCGTTATTGGTTAAAATGCAAATTATTTTCTAACAAATTTTTACTGACAAATTATGTGAAACCAGAAATTTACAAAGAATTATAAATTTAGAAAATTCATATTGGAGAAAATTTTGAAGGGACGTCATCACGTTGTTGGTGGGGATGATCAGACAACTTTTGGTTAGCGTTTTACCATCAACTAGAGATTCCTTATTATAATGTCATTCGTTGTGATAGAAAATTTTTATTGGTTGGTCCCTCTAGAGGAGGTGGAGTATATTAGTTGCATTCTCAAATAATTCAAATATACGGTAATAAATACCAAACATCTTACTGATTTATACCCCTCATTGACATAATCATCTGTAAGTGCTCTTATTAAAATATGACTCTCTTATTTGTTTGTTCCACCTCACGTTTCCTTTCATGATTTTGAGTTATTACTGCCTGAGCGTCAGCTGACGCTCAGGAAGTACAGTTAGTAATCGAGTCCATCAAACGAATGGTCATTTTTATGTTTTCTCAACGTTTCATGACCCCTACAGTACGAAAAAAGTAGGTCCCGTTTCCGTTTGCTTGTCTGTCTGGTGTCTGTATCCATTTTTGTGAGACACGTATTGTCCGAAACTGCTGGACCGATTGTTGTCAAATTTTGTATGTATATTAGAAATATCATGTAGATGGTTAAATGCTAACCAAAATTTGGCTAATCATCCCCACCAACAATTTGATGGCATCATCTCAATCAACGGTATTTTAAAACGATTTGAATGTTAAACAAAAATATACGCCCATATTTGTAGTATACGAATCCGCTTACAGTTTTTTCGCTAAAACAATTTCACGCTACATCCATCGTTACTAGCTAACTGTTGTCCTATTTCTATTATAAGCGATTTTGCCAAAGTTTTTGAACAGGCATTATATAGTTGCATTTACAATAATACTCGTTCGCATATCAGTTTAGGACAGCGTAGATTCAGAACTGGTAGATCTACATGTACAAATCTTGCAGTGCTTGTTCAAGATCTAAATGTTGCACTTGATAAACGAGAACAAATAGACGTAATATATACTGACTTCTCCCGAGTTTTGATGTTCTTCCTCACCACATTCTGTTAAGCAAACTTAGTAACTTTGGATGTAACTACCCCTTCTCAAACTGATGGAATCTTACTTAATAAACCCTTGGGTCTCTTCTTTTTGCCTAATTATCAATGATCTTTTGGAATGTTTGAATTTTAATATCTTAGTTTATGCTGATCTGAAAATGTATTCCAAAATCTCAAGTCTTTATAATACTGAGCTTTTGCAAGGTGAACTTATGAAAATCGTTGAATGGTGCTATCTACATAGACTTATTATTAGTAAATGTAGTTACATTTCATATTGTCGAAAACTTAATATCGTTCATTTTTCTTATTCAATAGAAGGTACACTGTTAAAACGAAAAACATCGATCAAATATCTGGGAGTTACTTTGGACAGCTGCTTGACTTTTGATATTCATGTTACCAATATTTGCAATGCTGCAGTAGTATATTAAGTATTAACAACGGTAAGGGGTGTTTACTGGTCGAAGGCAAAAGTTTGGAGACGGAGCGAAGCGACGTCTCCAATTTGTCTGAGACAAATATAATGAGTATAAGCATCCCCCTTAACGTTCGTGATGCTTATACTATTTTTTGTACGACCATCAAAAGATTTGCGTCTTTTTATCAAATTCATAAATTGAAAGAATTTATATCAAAACATCAACAAGGTCGTTTTTTAATTTAAAATTTGTTACTATGGTTTCGATTAATATAAACAACAATTTTAAAAATGAGTTTCCACAGTTTCCGTTTTGACCGCTGTCGATTTAGATTTGATCTGGCTTGATTTCAAGTTAATTTTCTTTCCGGGACTATAATTAGTGAGTGATTTATTTGCTTAAAATATCAATCATGAGTGATTCTGAAAGCGAAAATGTCGAAGTCGAACATGCATGGAATTTAAAATAAAAAAAAACTTGAATGCATGATTACTTACCGTTAAGCTGAACAGTAAGTAATTTTATTCACAATCGGTATGTAATATGTCATTTCCCAACTTTTTTGAAGTTTGAAAGTGAGCAATTGTTTGTCATCTTTACGAACCTCGTTGGAGGTTGGCAAATTTTTTGCGAACCTCCACGCCAGTGAAGGCTTGATTTCTGTAATATTGTTTGATTTTCAAATAAATTGTTCCTTAGATAAACACCCACTTCTACCCCAGCGTAGGGTTGGAAAACAACCTAAATAAAGCTACAGGTGCCCATAACAAGTCTGAAGACATTTTATTTAGCGTATTTGCCTCAAATAATTTAATAAAAAACTTGACAAATTATAATGTCAAGTTTGACATGGAACGCCTGCTGTCTAATTATAAAATGAGCGAAGTGAATTTTTATTTCCATTTTTTTTTTATTTATAATCATTGTGAATAAAATAGTATACATAGACTCGGTGGACGTGTTTCATTCCCGTCTCACGCCTGTTGTTGACCTCGACGCTACGCGTCTCGGTCCAACAATCTGGCGTTCGACGGTAATGAAACACTTGCCGCCTCGGTATGTAATATACTATACTTACCGTTCGCCTCTTAGTTGTTAGTTGTAGCAACCCATAAACTGAACTTACTGCTATGGAAACCTATACGGTAAATGATCGAAAAAACAATGGTACAAAAATAAATCTTTGGGGCTTGTCATGAGAACGCCAAAATTTTTCAACAATTTTGACGTGATTAAATCCCTCGTCGATTCGAAGGGATCTACATGCGTCTAACTTCTTATGTAAGCTTATTCACCACAAAATTGATCGATATTTATTATCACAGATTAGTTGTTCCTTCGCCAGCATCGAGATATGTTAACATTAACACTTTTCACATCTCCACTACCCGAACTAATTTCCTTCGTCTTTCGCCAATTACCACAATGTGTCGATCTGCAGATAGATATGTAGCCGATATATTTTATTCAAATTGATTTATACTCGACATTATGTTTGTGTTATTTTTTATTATTCTTGTGTAGGTTATAATATGTAAGTAATTGTTTAGATTTGTCCTATTATTAGGTTAACCTGTTTGACAATAAATTATTATTATTATTAATAGCCAGACATATTGCAATCGGTCTCTTCATGTAATCAGAAACACGAATTACTGTCTCAGAGATATCACTGTTAGACTGGTTGATAATTTTGGTTTTTAGTTCTTCAATAGTGTGAACAACTTCCGTAAAGACAGTATTTTTCAAGTGATGAAAGAGGGCGTGAGATCAGATAATCTTGCAGCTCATAAACCTTGAGTAATTTATTATTTTGTCGTCATAAAATTGCTGTAAGCTATAGTCTCCCTAATTCATCATCGTGTAATTGGTTATGGATGCATCTAGAATATTGGTCCGGTACTTTTCAGCTGTCTTAAAAACGGGTCAAATCAATCTTCGTCGCGGCATACCAACCATACTGCAAGAATATCATCGTTGTTTAGGACATTATTACCCCAGTTAACGATAATTAATTTTCATGTTACAATCGGATGGTGTTCATAAATCTGAATTTTATAATTTTATAGGTATGTAGACCAGAGTCTTGTTTTAAAATTCTGTGACAAATTGAATATGACAGATCTGTCTACTGTGGTAAGCGCCTTACTGAGGGTTGGATAATTGCAATTCCTACAATTTTGGGACGGATCACTTTCAGGTTTTCTTTAAAGAATGCTGCTACTTTTACGAAATAAATCAACGCTGTGCACCAGCGCGTGGATAAAGTTAGCATAAATAACAGCAAAATTTGAAAATTTCTAGTGTTATTAGTGAATAAATAGCCGGAAAATATCCCGTTAAATATCCAAATAAATGTACAGTTTTGACGCGATTTTTTAAAATAGCCAGCTATTAACAATACTAAAAGTTTCTTTTGAAACTCTTGGAAAACTGATTCAATTTCATAGATCCATTCATAATCATTTTGTCGTCCATTACGATAATATCGTTCAATCATAAAAAATCTAATGTTCGCAGGTGAAAACCATTTTGAATTGAATTTTGTTTTAATCACAAAACACTCGTGATGATTGGTAGTAATAATGACAATATAGGAAATGTTTTCATGGCTGCACCATACGTTTTTGATGTTTTGTTGGTTATAGCCGCCCTCGATTATTATTTGTTTTTGTTTTTAATCATATGGTATAAAGATACTTAAGCTATAATAATAGAATTATGGAGACAGGTTGCTTGGTATTTAAAACGTTTGCAACGTTAAACTGTTTCAACTGATTTTTTTGTGAGAGTTTTCTGAAAGATGACACTATAAAATGTTACATCAACTTATATTTTTGTTTTACTGTAATATTTTCAGTATTATTCCAAATATTCATTGCGTCGCTTTAACTAATAATTTTCAAGCTGTATTTTATTAGATGCATGATTTACGACATATTTATGAAAATAATTTTCATTTTTCTGATTTATTATTCTTTTTGCTTCTAGGTAGCTTCCCGCATTGTTAAACTTCTTATAGAACAATTTTCTACGTCATACCTTTTTGGCAAAGACAATTATGAATTTTATTCTCGTGTGACTGGTCGGGTTTTGAGAGTACAAGGCGAATGGATCTGTTCATTCCAATATCCTCCTCCAACAGGAAAAGGTTCAGTACAACAGCAGATATACACCAATGAATGTGGAACCTTAGAGAGATATCTTCTTGGTAAGTATTTGTTCAAAAAAAATATTTATGTCAAAAGTAATGACATTAAGAACGGAAAACATATTTATAACTAGGATAATGAAAAATTTTACGGAAAAAACTGAATTCTCTTTATTAATCATAATAACAACAATAATAATAATAAACAAGAACATGTCATTGATTTGGCTCAAAAAATAAAGTTTATATACCGAAACAGAAGGGTTTTTGTTTGCTATTCAAGACCATGTAATTAATACCAAGAATTACGGAAAATATATAATCAAAGATCCAAATATAAGAAACGGTTTTGTCAACTTTGTTAAGAAAAACCCTAAACGATTTAGCACATAACTTCATCCTGTAGCATCCTGGTACAAACTGACTACAAAGCTAGACACGACAACTTAATCCAACCACACTTACATTCCATCTCCATTCCTTGAAAACACCGAATACAAGCTATATTAGGATCGCACAATACTTACAGGCAGAAACATTACAGCCGACAGACTTATAAAGTGACAGACTTATGAAGACATTCTCATTGACGTTGCTGTTCCTAACACACACAAGATAATACAAATATACCACACCAAAGTTTCAAAATATCTTCGATTTATTAATAGAAGTGTAGGGAATGCTAAATCTTGAGAAAATTTGAATTCTATTAGTTATCTTCAATGTAGGTGTAGTATCAAAGAGTTTAGTTGAGAATTTGAAATATTTACACTTAAATAATTCAATAATAATTGTCAAAATGCAAAAAGCTGTTTTGCTAAGAACAGGAAGGTATTGTTCGTAAGTTTCTCAAACAGTTTGATCATGTCAATCAGAATAGGTTAGCACCAGTAGGTCAGAGTAGTGTAACTCACATTTCAAGTGATACACAGATAAATGATCGGTAGTTACGCTAGACTCTTAAGGATGGGGTGCGATTAGAGAATCATACGATCTCAAAAGTTTTTATAAATCTATTCAATGCATAGCATTAGTTGGTCTTAGTACTCGTAATGATAAAAGTCTTGCCTGGATCCCGGTCATTTCCGGGTCAGTGGTGGTTCCTAATAATAACCCTTTATTGCAAACAGAATCGTATTCCACTTACTCGACAACAATCAAATACATCAATCAAAATCACGTAAGCTAACAAAAGTCTAATAAAATTAACAAAACTTTAGAAATAAAACCTTAAATAATACAATAATCATATTTCTGATCTTACGTATACTTACATAATTAAGTTTCTCTCAGACTACGTGTGAAATGAGATAATTTTGAACTGAAAATATCAAACCAATTATTTGTTTCAAATTGGTTCAAATAATAGTTGACAATATAAATGGAATCCTTTCTACCACCATTCGTTTTAGGTGTTTTGCAATACAGGATGATTTTTTTAATCCGAAACTTTCAAATATCTCGAAAAATAAGCACTCTGCGAAAAAATGTCGAGAATAAAAATTTAATCATGCTAAGGGGGAAACACATTAGTGCTAAAATTAGGCCCCCTTCCCCTCTCCTTGTAAGTGTGGAGTTTCGAAACTTTAAATGGGAACTGCTATTTTTATTGCAGATTCGGTGTCTACAGTTAAAAGAACGTATGATTTGTCTAAAACATTTTTTTGTTCGTGATTGATTGAATCCACGAAATTCAAATTCTTTTGATTTATCCTACTGAGAACCTACTCGAAATTCGTCGCCAAAAAATATATTCCTGTTGTAAATTTCGAATACCTTGGAAATAGTTACCCGTAGAAATGTAAATGGCTGTCGAATAAACTACTTTTAGCGTAACCCAGGAACAACGATGTGGACGAAGTTTTCTGTTTTCTTCGTTGATTAACGTGAGTCCCTTTGCCTCTCACCTATCAGGCTGCTTGATTTATGTGAGTCTCTTCGCCTGATCAGCTCTCGCTTATCAGGGTGCTTAATTTACATGAGTCCCCTCGCCGCATCATCTTTCAATTAAAGTAAATGCTGAAAATGATGACCTTCGAATTCAATGCATGTTGAATGTACAGTGAGAAATATGTCTGTTTGAATTTCGACACAAGCGTTTCTGATTCCCTCAATCATATTCTCACGGGTTGTTGATTCTTGTTTGTAAACATTGTCTTTGAGATAGCCCCACAAAAAAAAATCTGGCGAACTAACATCTGGTAATCTGGCAGGCCAATTTTTCGACCGCATGTTTTATCGGACTTCTAAGCTCAAGTTTGCAAATAATGTTGGTAGTTCATTTTCCAAAATGTCTCGGTACGTTTCACCATTCAAGTTGCCTTCAATAATGAGGCGACTCATTTTTAATTATTGACGATGAAAACGTGGTATTTTTTACTGAAAACGTATTGCAGAATTGGATGCATAGGTTCTCAGTAGGAGAAATCGAAAAAATTGAATTTCGTTTATTACAGTGTCATCTACCATGAATCTAAAAACATGTTTTAGATAAACTGTACGTACGGGGGAGGGGGACTAGTTTTTTGCACAACAGTACTTCCCCCATGGAACGATTCAGTTTTGAATCTGGACGTTTTTTTGTAGAGTGCTTATTTTTGGAGATATTTGAAAGTTTCAGGTTGAAAAAATCAGCCTGTATAACTTAGCTACTGTTCTACTATTAAATTTAGGAACGTAGAAATCTAAACAACCGAGCAACTTACTGCAATCAGTTACATTATTTAACAATTTAAATAAAAAAACTGACTCTGCTATGATACGCCGAGATACCAACTGTAAGCTATAAGAAAGTATTGTAATCGAGCCCATCGGGCTACTGGCTGCTTTCATATTTTTTCGATGGGTCATGATCCGTAGAAAATGAAAAAGTGGGTTCCCGTTTCCGTCTGTCTGTCTGTCTGTCCACCGTCCGTCTGGATTTTTATTAGACAGATAATCTCCGATACTACTGGACTGATTGTCAAATTTTGTATATTAAAAATATCATGTAGATGGTAAAACGATAAGCAAAATTTTTCTAATCATCCCTACCACCAACGTAATGACAACCCGTCAAAATTTGTCATAGGGTTATAGTAGGGTTTAAATTTTATAAATTAACCTACTGCTGTACTTCTTTATGGATCTGTGTTCGATCACGTCGAGCATTCGGTTTCAAACATGGAACGTGAAAATCGTTTTGCGTTCGAATCTCGCATATTTTTTTATCTTTTTTGTTTTATATGCCGTTACTGCTTGTATCGATATTATACTTTTTTATTAATTAAATCTCAAGGACGGTACACTCCGATGTTTTATTATTACATAGTTTATTAGTATTCCACTCCATGTCGGAATTAACAGACATGTCCTTGCTGAAATAATGTTGACCGAAACATTCTCAAATGGGAAAACTCCTTATCAAAGTATTCATATTTTTTGAGCAATTGTTTTTCCATTTCCTGTCATGGTTATTCCAGATGAAATAGAAATAAGTGTGTTTTTGTAACATAATGCACCCGAGTGCGAAGCGGCGGGGTATGGGTAATTAAAGTATAATGCATTAAAGGCACACTAAAGTTTAAATCTATTTTTTTTTATTCTCCTAGCCGTCAGATTGTATATTGTGCATGCGAAATATACAACGGTGGCTCTTATTTTTCGTTTTGTTCCCCCAAACAACGGCCTTCACTTAAACGCGTGACGTCATTTAATTTAATATACATTATGTATTACCTATTTGTATCTTTATTCATAATTTTATTTACTTAGAATGTTTGCTTTAAATACGGTAAGTTGAATTATAACACTGGTCAACAGCTAAACTCTAACTTTTATTATAGCAGCCAATTATTATTTAATTAGCAATTTTAAATGATATTATAAGGGGCTAAACCAAAACTTAGCTCTCATTTAAAAGTAATCTTAAAATATTATCCTTTGAAAAATACAAAAATCGTACTATTAAGTAATAGGAAACTTTCTATAAGGTGTATTTTTTTGTTGTCAAATTGCTACAAACTTCTTGGGAAACAATAAGAAAACTACGTTTAGTAAGTACAAAACATGTTATCATCATATAAAAAATTTAAAATTAACATATTCTTAAAAGTGCATTTTATGCATTCGCACCTTGATTTTTTCCCCAAAAATTGTGACGACGTGAGTGACCAACATGGAGAACGTTTCCATCTGGGCATTTTGTCGATAGAAAAACGTTACCAAGATCGATGGAACACCTAAATGCTCGCAGAATACTGCGGGACCATCAAGCGAGAGATCTCCAATGAAATCTATAGAAGGCAACCGAAAAAACGTCGGTCTTAGCTGTTTCTTTTGTTTTTTTCGTTTTTTTAACTACATTCGTTGTTTTTTTCTTATTTATGGTTGTTCTTTTGTTAATACTACACTTTTTGCCGTTAAAGATACAAAAATTAAATTGTTTTACCTGATTTTGTGTTTCTAACATCAAATATGCATATATTTTTTAATTGAGCTAAGTTATAAGATTTATGCTCTTTGTTACAAACACAGAGACAAATTAAACGAAAACATTACAATTATGTCAAAGTTAGAGAGAAAAAATTAAATTTTTTTGACCAGTGTAATTTGTAGAAGATGTAGTAAATGGAGTATTGCTGGTACACATCGATTTATTATCAATATGGTCTGTTGTTAACGAAAAAAAATATCCCAAATTTATAAAGCGTGGTTAATCAAAATTAAACGTGAAATTTTTTTGCCAAATAATATACCCGCATTTGTTTAACGAAGATGATTACGAAAATTCGTTGAACAAAATTGTAATGCCGAACATGACAAAGTTTCCATTAAAAAAAAAAAACACTGCAATACAGTCAATGTTTTTAACACACAAATCAACTATAGCTGCCAATAACATAAGAAGAGTTTCAAATTATCTGCGAAAGGAAGGGTTGGAAGCAATTTATAGTAGAAATAATAAAGATATAGCAAGCAATTCAACTACCTCAACAAGTACTTGTACAAATCAGTGTCAAAAAATTTCTAGAAAAATTGCATATAGAGATCTGTATAGTTTTTCGGACTCTGAAAAGAACGATGCAAATGAAAGTACATAATAATTATTATATTGTAGGAAATACATAGTTACAAATACATTGGTATACAGTACAAAACTGGCTTAGAAGTATTTAAAAATTATGTCACAAGTACAGACTTGCGTTTTGGATATTTTACCATGTTTGCCAAGGCAATGGGACCAAGTTTTCAGAGAGCGAAGGAGCACAATATTTTCTTCTTTTGAATTTGCCCATGTACCGCCGTTTCTTTTTCTCCAAATTTATTTGGGAATAACCAGGCTCAAATGAGTAAGAAGAAACGCCTTCAGTTTTAATAATGTACATTAATGTTTGTTGATAAATAAACAATAACGCCAGCGTTTGCTATACCACCTGTATAGTGCAACGTAGCAACCAGTCCGGTGTGTAACAGATGACGTAACCAGTGGCGGCTCGTCGGCAGTGCCTCCCCTGGAAAAATTAAACATTAGTTTTTGTTTTAATATATTGTCAACTTCAAATATATATATATATTGTTACGATGATCGGTAATTTAAAATTGACGTGGGTAAAATTCAACAATTTATTTCTCAGTAACGCAAATTTACAAGACCAATTACACAGGGATTATGTACAAAATAATTCCGGCCCAACTTGACTTGATTCTTTCGTTTACTGGATTGACTGAATTCCTTGTTCCCGAAGGTGGCCTCCATTTAAACCCATACTTCTCTTCTAGATATTCCGCGCTCATAAAAAAATTAGTTGAAGGTAATTTCGATAGAACTTGCCTCGTCCTTGAAGTATAGAATGAAACAAATCTGCAGCTTCCTTAAAAACATTATAAAATTTGATTTTGATAACTTCTGAAAATTAAAACCAGCGGCATAAATAACACCCCCGAAGCCCCTGTGCCGTGTGAGCACAAATTCTACGATGTAAAATATGTTTAAAGCCAATGACCAACGGGATAAAATGTGCTTTCAGCACTAGGTAATAGCAATTTGGAGTTCAAGTATTTATTTAAGTTTATACATCGCAAGAATATCACGTAGTAATTAGTTTGACGCGATTGAGTTTGTCTTTTCAAAATAGAGGAATAAAATTATTAATTAAGCCACAATCGACAAATTTCATCGTTATTAAACAAAGACGTGCGTATTCTCACATTTTCAAGCTCGTTCTAAATTTGACCAATAAAAAATTTGTGATGACGTCATCAATATAGGTAATACAGGTCGTAACACAAAAGAAAACTAGTCACAGCGCAATACCGATGCAAGAGAAAAAAAATGGTCGAAGCCTATTTCAACGTGTGGATCCGTACCAAATTACGTCAAAGTACATACTTACTACACTAGCAGTTATTTGATACCCAAGTCATTTGTTTTTGTGACGTCATTATCATAGCTAGGTAGCTCATATACTAAATTGCCCTCGTATTTAATTGTGGATGTCCGGGGTCGGCAAGCCGTAGCCGCCGGTCGACGTGGAACCCAGTAAAAATAATTTTTTCGGTGGTTTTCAATTAATGATAAGGCAGAACAAGTAGAATTAAGGATTAATAGTATTTGGAATCAAAGTGAAATTGTTAATTTCCTATAAAAAAATTATTTCAACAAGTCGAGGTCGAAACATTCGAGATGTTTTTATACGTCCCGGCACGTAAAATGGGAGTGGTTATCGAGTAGCAGCCATACATTACGAAAATATATAACACAAAGGTGCAGACTCAAAATATTTGGCCGACCCGAAATTTTGACCCACCAGCCGCTACTGTTTTTAATATTTCTAATATACATACAAAATTTGACAAACAGAGAGAGACGGAAACGGGAGACTACTTTTTTCGTACCTACGTCATGAAACGTCAAGAAAACATAAAAGTAGCCATTCGTCCGATGAACTCGATTACTATAATATTAGCTTATACCGTCTGGAAAATGGCGGACTAACTCTCCAGTACGTTATGTACGTGGGTTTCGGGAGTTCCAACAAAATAATTAAAAAATTCATTATGGTGTAGATTACAAAAAAAAAAACAATTTTATAAAAGTATTCGTAAAATTGGTAACACTACACGTACCTAATGTGTGAATATCTTCGGCTTACTTTCTGAATTCTTAGTAGATAATGACTAAAATCCAAGTAAATTAATGACAGAATTCACAACAAGACAAATATTTAAAAAAAGACCTTCATTTGCCAGGACCTGACGCTATTCTAAGAAAAAATATCTTAAGTCCACCGCGAGTTTAAAATAATCGTGACTCTATATACGAGCCATTAACACCATATGATCCAAAGCCTTTCAGATAAAAGGCAGCTGTGATGAGCGCACGTAGGGGATGATCAATAGAGAGCTAATGTTTGTTGGAAAGAAATGGAACAACCTTACTTCTGCTCATCACAGTCTCCCTTTATCTGAAAAATTTTGTATCGTACTATGCCAAAAGTCGGTCATCATAAATACAAAGCTGTAAAATACATATGGAAAACAGCACAACAAATTCGTATGAAGAGTTGGTGTACGTCTTCACATTTCATTTTACGTCTTCGATGTGACTAACAAACAAACACAGTTGTGTGTACAATTCTTACCAGTCCTGATTCATATTCGCATTAAAAACTATGTTACTGCATTACAAAAAAACCATTTCGAAGATTGAATAATCACTGCAGAAAATAAATTCACTTATTAAATATATGTTTTTAGTGTTAGCAAACCTATTGTATGTTTCTAATGATAGTGATTGTTAAAATTTCTTAAAGGTCACTTGTCTTTGGGAACAGAAACTTGGCTTCACTGTGAAAGTGATCGGTGGCACGCAAATTATGGTTTAGAAGGTAATGACGTTGTTTGTGCAAATAACACAGTTTAATTTAATATCCTAAAATGAATGGTAGTATTACAATGTATTTTTGAGTATTATTTCTGTAAATAACACTGTGATATTTTCATATACATACTTATTAAACAAAAATAAATAAATTTCTATTTCTTTTTCGTTTCTGTTTTATTTTGTGTTGTTTTCCTCTATATTTTTACTGTGCATTTTTAACTTTACCTTTACAGGTATGTAACAATAGTAGTGTAGGTTACTGTTTAATCTAACATACTATTAACATTTCAGCTATGGCACAGGTAGAAGAGTGTCAGTCAACTCCGGCATTACTTGAATCAAGTTTACAACCACAGATTAGTTCAACATCCTTAGGAATGATTGCAGAACATAGCCTTTTGGAATCCTGTACACGTTTGTCTATATCTCTAGAACAAAATGGGTTATTTCAGGTAAATTGTAGGCGATTTATGTTTTTCTTTATAACCCACGGATGTTCACAGGGAAATAATACATCACATTCATCAAGTGCTAGTCATTCTTCAAGAAATAGTCAGAATTATTCAGGACCGAAGATGACGCTTGAAGAACTTCGAGCTGTTAATCGATATGCAGAAAGTACAAGAAGCCTCAGCTATCTTCCCCAGGTTAATAATCTGTTCACATTTTTTAGAGACTGAAGATCCTACTTACGTAACTTTTATTTGTTCATATGACAATGCTGCATACATACATATGTATCATTAATTTTTCTATTGCGATAACTAATATCATTCGTCACATATTGTAGGTTCATGAAAGACAAACAGAACGTATGAAAACACGCTCGCAATGGTTTTTGGCTCCGTCAGTCGAGTGTACTAGTTGTGGCGGTTCATTAGATTTACCTTTAAACGAAACAGAAGTATCAGTCTTAACAAACGCAATTCTGAGGCGATCTTCTTCAGGCACTATAGGTACTTATGTTTAAAAGGTTAACAATTATTTTAAATCATAAATTTTAGTCGGAGTTGCTGGTCTTTCTCTTAGTGCTGAATCAGTTCAAAAAAAAGCAAGCATTAGGAGATCTAATTCTCGTGACAAACGACATTATCTTCATAGATCAACAAGCCGAAGAAATAAAGAAAATGGTTCCAGATCTAATAGGTATGAATATTACATATGCAATTAAAAACTTTAAGCACAAAATAAATTGAATGGCCATTTAAAAACTAATAATATTAAAAAACATTTGAACAAATAACCTTTGTTTTGTCTTCTCATTTGCGATATTTTTAACACTAATTTGAGTTATAACGCCATAAACATTTTCTTAATGGCATTCATTGTTTCCATAAGTTTCATGTAATACTTTACTTCAATCGGCCTTTAGATTTTAAACTTTGCATTTTAACAACAGAATAAAATTCGTGGAGCTGGATCACCAGGTTCTGTATTTCATTTTTAAGTCTATTTCGTGAATAAATTTTCACCAAAACGTAACATTTTTCTTTTATAATATTGTTGGTTTTTAGATTACTATGGAATTTTCTTGCAAATTATGTTGCATTATCGCGTGTATAACTTGCCATTTAGTTTTAAGGGTCGGAGCGACAGGAAAGGATCCACTTCGCGGCCAGGAAGCTTCAAAATAAAGTATGAAAACATATCAAGGTCGTGCAGTTTTAAAACCAAGACTGAGTTGTGTACTTGTCCAACAGGTGATACAGCGGATGAAAGTAAAGCTACTACTGCCAAAAAAAATGAAACAATATGTGTTACTTTAACCTATAAGCCGCGTATTTAGTTTTACTTTCATAAAAGTTACATTTTTTTTAATGATAAACGAGAATCCAATAAAATCATACGCTTATTAAAATATTAACGTGCGTGAGTGTGTGTGTGCCACAGTATGAAGTCTAGTATGAAGTAATTTTTAATTGATAGCTTTTTGCCAAAATGTATTTATTTTGTTTCTAATGAACCTATTTTTTTTTCTCATTAAGAATCAAAATAACGTGAATGATGGATGACAACGGAAGTCATTGTAAGCAACAAAATTTTTGTGACCTCCTGTACTGCGTTTTCAGCTTAAAAAATTTATTGAATTAACATAGATTTTATATGTTGTGAAATACAGAGTGATTCACGAGGAATAATGAGCCTGAAAAAATTGTTGATGCACCAACATTACTATTCACAGCTTACTTCAGTACACTTCTTTAAAAAGCAATAATTGGAATCCGCGATACCCATGCAAAATTTATTACAATTTGTGCAAAATATAGACCTGTTCAAATAATGAGAAGACAGACATGATTTTAATCTATGGAGAATGTCTGAATAATGCATCGCCTCGCCTGCTACACGTGCTAATGCTCAGCGATATCTCGAAAGAAGAGCGCCGTCTGACACGATTTTTAAAATATTGTACAATCAGTTGAGAGCCAATTGGCCTCCCGTTAAGTCATCAATGCAAAGGGTAGCTACTGGTTTTCTCAGTGTTGGTAAATAAATATCTTTGCATTTTTGGAAATAATTTTCAACTGCTCAAAATTGACAGTGCCATAAGAGTGCAAACTTGGATTTATGATATTTTTTAAATTCTACTATGAACCAAAAAACAAGAAAATTGTATTTTGTGGTATCTATCTGGATAGGTCAAATTCGTCATGTACGCTGAATCAGCCTGTATTTATTAAAAATAGAATTTTGAATCTATATAAACTATGCGAAATATTGTTGGCTCATTATTCTTCGCAAATCACCCTACAAAAAGTGGTTGGGTCAGATTTGGACACTTGTCTAAATGTTTTTGACAGCTTTCAAAAGCATTTAAAAAGTTACAATTTAAAAAACAGTACCTTTATCGTACAACAGTAGGTTTTGAGATAGTTTATGGAACTGTTTTACGAGATAAAAATTCAACATTATTAACAAGTCAGGTAAAATGTTCACAAGCGATGCAATGTAATACTGATACATCTAATGGCTTTACGATTTTTTAGGTTAAATAAACATTCAATTTGAAGACATCTTATTCGTACTTTTATGTAAAATCTGCCACTATAAGATAAAGCGCTTATAAGAATATGGCATTTCATTCCCTCACTTCTAATAATAAGTGAGATAAATAGGTACTATATTATAAGCGAGTGAAAATGCAGGGCGATGAGTGCGTTAGCGCGACTGATACTGTGCTCACAAGCTTATAATGGAATTTCGCTTACGTATGATATGCGACGCTTTATCTTACAGTAGCAGGTTTTACTCTTACTTTTAAGTAAGAATAAGATGAATCCAAATTGACAAGTCATTTTACCTAAAAAGTCGCATTGTTATTAGATGTATTAGTTAGTACTCATAGTTACATTACATAACACTTGTTAATAATATTGATTTTTTCTCTCACAAAACAGTTCTATAATCTACCCCAAAACACGTATTTCATAAGGCGATTATTGTGGCACGAATGAGTTTTGACAACAGCGAGGAGTGTCCAAATAGAATGAGTGCCGCAAGTCGTCTTATGAATAAAGTGTAATATACTATTTTTTTTCTACTTTGCATTGTAAATAAATTTTAAAATATAGGTATTTTAAATAAATAATTTTTGAATAGGGATTTGCGACAGTGGGTTGGTAACAAAATCAACATTTTCGTGATCATTTAACACAAAAGAAAGCAAATAGATGGAAATATTCATTTGGGCTAATTATTATTAACAATGTCAAGATAATCAAGGAAAAAATAACTGCACCAACTTCAAAGACTTTTTATTTTGGAACATAGATATTGAATGTAGCCGTAATTGCCGTCTTGACAATTTTTTCGGGGGTGCACGAACGAGAAATCTTCACCGCTGTCCGATTCCATTGTCCGAGCACACAAATTATAGTAGCTTACATAGATATAATAGCCGTACATAGAGTCGAAATTTGCGAATAAAAATAAAATAAAACCGGTTCAAACGGAACCGACGGTGGCTTGCAAATTCTGACGTCACTGTGGCACACGTTGCACAGAGACATATTTAATATTAATTAAATGTCATCTTTTCCGTTATGATATCATCTGTTTAATTTCTGAGTTCAATCTCGTCAATAAAAACGAAGCTCTGTTCACTGTACACAAGTTGTGGTATGGTATGTTCATCGTTGCGGAGGTAGGTGGAACGAAAAACCTAGTAATCTTAGCGGCAAAGACGGCTATAAATTAGTCCACGTGGACTGTTTGTTTCCTGACATATTCTAGTTTGCTTGAACCAATTGTGTTGCACCAAACGGTTATTACACTTGTTGAAATACATTTTCAAACTTCCATCTTTCTCGAGATCTTCGATTTCGTAGTTGTGTGACAAATCGTTTGTCGTAGATAGAAAATAGTAAGATTACAGTGACCGTAAGATTTTGTGCAAACGGCCTTAAATACACCCCTGTGCGATGCGACGCGTGCCGTAGTGACAGAACTTGCAAGCCATCGTCGGTTCCGTTTGAGCCGGTTTTATTTTATTTTTATTCGCAAATTTCGACTCTATGGACGGCTACAATATCTATGTAAGCTACTATACCATTTCACACCGAGAAAATTAATGCAAACCACTTGTGTTGATGAATTATCATAGCAACGGCAGGCTTCTATATTTTACTTCCGTTAAAAAATGACACGCTACGACACTTTTTTTCACTCAAATGCGTGAAAAAATGAACCGCTATGACATTTTTTTTTTCCCGCTTCTAGTGCGATGAAATAAACGTATCTTTTATAAACAAAAATTAATAAAACGAAAGAACGTTAAAAAAATAAATTGTCATTATTCTGAAACGTATATGCGTTTCATAATGAAAATATTATTGACGCAAAGTGGAAAAAATCGTTTGTGTTCTATAGTTATGTAGAAGTGGGCAGCACGTAGATACAATTATTGTACTAGTGCCATTTAGAGTAAATTCCCTTGAATGGGTAGAAGTTTTTTTATGAATTCATTTACTCTACGCATTTTTTGAAATTGACCTTTTTAAAAATTTCAGTGTGTTGTATAAAAGTTTATTCTTTCTTTAATCACATTCGATGTATGCCGAACAAAATGTAGTTTCTCTTTTTTACAGATAATAATTCCATTTCAAAGTCTGAATCTTTTGGTGATGGTCGTTTTCATGACTGTGATATGTGTTTGTTATTTTTGCTGGTTTTCTGCTGTTACTTCCCGAGCGTAAACGAATTGTAATCGAATCCATCAGGCGACTTGCCACTGTCATGTTTTCTCGAGGTTTCATGACCCCTAGAGTGCGAAGTGGTCTCCCGTTTCCGTCTGTGTGTCTTCTGTGCCGATTTTTCTTAGACAGATAATGTCCGAAACTACTGGATCGTTTGTTAAATTTTGTGTGTATGTATGTATTCATATTAGAAATATCATACAGATAGTACAACGCTAACCAACATTTTTATTTTTATTTAAAAAAAAATATGCAGTTTATTTTATTGATTAAATCAAAAATAGCTCACCGAATTTTCCAAAAACGTTGAGAATAAAGTACTGTTATTGTTACTATGATACTCCACCTGTGGAAATTGATATACATGATTATTCACGAGAAGCTCTACATCTGAAAAATTCAAAATTCAACTAAACAGTACAATTTCATAGCATTCTTTGATGTTTATCATCATTTCTGGTTTTAAGCTAAACATAGCTGTTTGGTTTTGTTAATTTGGAAATATACTCCAATGATTAGGCTAAAATTAAAAATTAACGAATTCAAAACAAGGGCTCGTCAAGGAATCTTCTATACGGATAAATGTTCGCTACAAAACCGTAAAGCACTCACCATATATCAAAATCACATCAGTCTTTTCATCGTTTGAACACTATCAGTTTTGATCAAATCACAGTTGTAACGGGACAATATTTGACGACACAAAACCGATAACTACATATGTTTTACTTAATAGTAATTAATGTATTAAGAGGGATAAACTAGGCTTAACATTCGAGCATATGCTAGAAATGTTAAGCCAAGTTGCACCTCAAAATGCGTTCATTAGTTTATCGTTCACAAATTAAAATTAAAAATTACTTTTTTATCCAAATCATATTGCTTATGCATATGGGTTACTGTGGTATTATAAATAAAAAAAACTTGTCTGAAATGTTATGGCGAAATATAATGTTACCATGGTTTTTCTTAACATTTGACGTGTATGTTAAGGATTTCTTAAGATTAGCTTAACGTTCATCCCCAGCATGCACGTTAAGAGAGTGACAAGTGACTGAACGATAAAAAAAAATGGTACGAAATAGCAAAGATGGTTTTGAAATTGCATTTCTGGTTACGTCTCGAATGTTTAGGGGTGGGCTTCTTGTGAATAACCTGTATGCGTCTTTGTTAGAATGTTGATGACGTCATCAGAAAATTTTGTAATGGAAAAATTCACTTGAAACATGCGAATAACTTACCTACTTTTTCTTTCTGTCAAGGAAATCAGAGTGGGCGGTCTGCTAATGGAATAGAAATGGCTAGACCGACCAATACTGGTTTCATCGACAGTACACACATTTCTTTAGTTTAACTTATATAAGGATTAATAATAAAGCAAAAAAATGCCAAAATCAAATTTAATAATTTTTCTAAAAAATCTAATAAGCACTTCAGAGGCAAGGGAAGTTCTGTCGAAATAACCTTCGACCAATATTGTTCTTTTTTTTTCAAATCCTTCATATTTCAACAATTTTCGAAATTTTAACGTGAGTGACGATCGAATCTGTTTCAGAGTATTATTAAATATTTTATATGCTTCTTCAATTAAGTAAATATTGCAGCAGCAAAGCTTCTAATAACCTGAATTATCGATCCAAAATTTGTACGAGTCTGAGAAGAACTGTTATGAAGTCCAGCCTCGTTAGTTACATCTGTACATCCCGCCATCAAAAGTGAGGATCTTCTAAATTTGGACCGCTTTCAAACTCACTGTCGTCGGCAGAGTTCCAGATTTTATTAATAAACCCAGTAGATGGTGTAAGTGGCTGTAGATACAACTACGCTATTAACTTTGATCAGAGGTTGTGAATTACCAAGTATTAACATCCCTCACTGCGGTGGGATATTTTATTTGTTCAAATGTGTCGCAATTCCTATATTGTACAAACTTGAAAATTTTATTAAACTTCAAGTGCAAATAATTGAGTTTGAATTTTTAAATGTTTATACATGTTTTAAACACAGAGTTTTGAAAGACGTATTATTATTTTGCAAGACATATGACTGAACTATATTTTCTTTAAAATAAACAACCCAATCTACACAATATTGTAACTGAAGTATAAATTACCATGTTTTGATCTTTTTAAGCAGATGAATGTAAGGTTTTACATACCTATAGCGGCTCTGTAAAGCAAAGATTGAGAGTATTGAAATGTCGGAGGAATGGAGGTTCATATGTGTTTATTGAAGTATTAAATGCTTTAAAAACTTAAATTAAAAATAATTCTAAGCTATTTAATTCTTATTCACTCACAACGTTAACAAAAATTATTTTAAACATTTTATTGTGACTAGTTGAAAACCAGCATGAAACCTAACACACAAAACGATAGATTGTGTTAGCTTTCCTTCAGTATTACATTAATAAAATTTCAATTACATAAATGAAGACGGAAAAGAATACTTATTAATACTAAACTACAACAAACAGCTTTACCTTATTTGAACACAACACTGTAAAATCAGAATTACAAACAAATTGTGGTAAAAACATACTTCTATTAAAAATACTTTCATAAATAACGCCAATATCAATATTCTATCGTTTTCGAAAAACTATTATATAAATAATTGAAGGAAGTATTGTAATCAATCAGTAGTTGCATGTTAAAAGTGCGAATGCGACGAAAATCGAATCAATTTGCATTAGCTGATTATGATTAAGTACAGCAACCAAGTGACAGCAGAAACTGCAAATAATAATTTGTGACTGACTATCTTTAATAAAAAACAACGACGTCGAAAAAGAAGATTTAAAATGCTTAATACATAGCAATTCCGGATGCGGAATTGTTATAAATGCATGTTACCAAAACCTGATGTTGAACTTTCTTCCATTGCTTCATCCGGGCCCGTTTGCGTATGCGGAATAGCTATAAATCAGGCTTAAGAAATCAGAAAGTAAGCCGAAGGTATTCACGCATTAGGTACGTGCAGTGTTGCCAATTTTACTTTTATAAAATTACGTGTTTCTCGTAATCTATATCATAAAGAATTGTTTTATTAATTAATGACCTGAAGAGTTAATCCGGTATTCTCCAGACACCCGGTATAAGTCACGTTAAGATTGTTTAATAACGTTGCTGCCGATTGCGATATACATTTTGACTAGTTAAGTGTAATCATAAAAAATATGTCAAAAATAACATTCAGATATTCCATTGTCACACTAAGTATTATATTACTAAATTATTGTGTGTGGTATTCTTCTGTGTTTCAGATTTCTTTGTAACTTCTCTACTAATTTTTTTTCTATTTCAATCACTCATTTTTTGCCCGTCGTTGTCCACTGATTGGAACAGTAGTTCTGTTTGGGTAATTGTTTTTATAATAATACAAGGAAAATTTTATATTTCGAGGCCTGACATTTTTTTATCAAATAAAAGCTAGGCTAATTTTATTTCATTGGAGATAAGTGTTTCAATGAAAAAAATAACTATATATATATTGCTGACATGCAGTTCATCAGCAATAGCTTTTGGAGGCAGTTCCTCGTCAAGTCTTTACATATGACGTACGTATGTACAGTCGGTGGACATATAAACTGGTATAGATAAAGTTTTATCAATATGTAGCAAAGCTGCTTAATTGTCAATCAAAAATTGAATTTGTCATCTCGACTGTTTCAAGTGCAATAGAAATCTAAGAATGTCTTTAACTGCTTCCTAAAGCAAATAATTTGACAAAGACTAGACGAGGAAGTGCCTTTAAAAACTATTGCTGAAGAACTGCATGTCAGCAACAGTATAGGCGAAGAAAAAAATTCAAAATGTTGGGTCCATAATACGAAAACCAGGCACAGAACGTCCAAAAATTCTCACCGTGTTTCATACTCGCTCTAACGTTTATTTTGCTCATGCGTTATCCATCTGTCATGGTATATAACTAGGCGTAAAAAACAAATTTACGCAGCAAACATTTTTAGTTTATCCATGTTTTCTTTTGACAGTTTTGTACCAGTTTTATATGTCCATCGACTGTATGTATGTATAAATTATTGTTAATTTGCATGCAGCAAACAAAAATAGTGGAGAGAAACCTTAGGTTCAAGAAAGCTTGTACTGATTACCCAGGCCTGCAGTGGAAAATCTGTCTTAAAAGAACCCGATCAATCTGACAGATTTTCGGATGCTAATTACCGTAAAAATAGTTAAAAAACTGCATCACGTAGTTTCTTAAAAAAAAAAACATCAGTCAAAAATTCCATATATGTTATCGCCTTGCAAAATACGATAGTAGGGTATCAGCGGGCTAAAATGGAATAATATGTTTCAAGTGCATAGCATCATGACCGTCAAATGTTTGAGCCTAGTCAAAACTGAAGTATTGACAGATTGAAGTTTTAATTATGAGCGCCACAGAAAGTTCAGGAGAAAAAGATTAAACATAACGTTTGAGGAGAAACGATAATGATTTTACAAAGATTTTTAATAAGTGGGCAAAAGTATTTTTGTTAATATCTAAAAAATGCATGTACAAAATAAGTGTAAATTTTTCTTTAAAATTTTGTATTCTTAAGTTTTAGTTTTTCCTATTTTTTACAAATAAATCCTACGTGATATGAAAACATTAATTTCATATTCGTAGTTAGGAATACAACAAATATACAAAACAGTTGTTAAAATAAAAACAGGATTTTACATTTAAAATTTGCAGGCCTGTGTTATTAATTTGGAGTATTATTTTTATATATATGTTCATATCTTCAGCAAAAAATTGGACCAAGGTTAGGTTAGATTAACGTTTTTCTTCGTTGTGAAGAAAATAAGTTTTTATTTCAGATTAAAGTGGAAGTGCCACAATCAGTTTTATGATGTCCCTAAACATACATTTTTTACCATGTAATTTGTTTCCTATGCAGATAGTCATGTTAAAGTAAGTTTAACCAACCAGTTGAGATAAAACACCGTATGTGTATATATATATACATAGACGTATTTGTTAAATGTTATAACAGAATTGTTGTATTACATATATAATTTGTTTGTTACGACATAAATTGATTAACCCAATTATTACAAACACCAAGGAGAATTGGAAGGTCTGTAAAGTTCAAAGTGTGCCGTTAAAGTACAACATTATTTTAAATATTTTTTATGTTGTTAATTTTATAATATATTTTTAGATAATTTTATCAGAGAAAATATATATATTTACAGGATAAAGTAGAACTGTCAGTAAAAAAGACCTATATATTTTGTCTGATATAGATTTTAACCAAACCAAAGATTGTAAATTTACTTCCCACGTTAACATTTTACGTTTTTAAACTATTGTCAAAAATAATAAATTTATTTACACATCAATATGTAATGATCTCGTTTTTTACACACTATATTGTGACCGGTAAGTTGCACATCGCACTCTATTGAAGACTTTTGTATTTCTTTTTATATTAATAAAGCATATGTTTACTTTTTGTTTTCATCAAGTGAAATTGATACCTGAATTTTTATCATAATAAAGTAATAAATTTGTTTTAATACTTATTTAGTGTGTATTTAGTTCTCCTTATTTGTTTTTTTCTTCTCAGCATTTATTACATTGGAGCGACTTTACATTCCTTCTTGGTATGATGAAATCCCCAGCAATTTAACATCACTTGATATATAGATGTGATCTTTTATGTTTGCCCTGTTCCACATCAGTATTTTCATTTTGCCTTTACACTCATCTTTATCATATTCTATCACAGAATAGACAACATTTCACTGTTACACTATTTTGTGATTTTATGCTATCAGTTATTAATTTTATAGTTCGTGCCTGTGTAATTTGTGTGAAACACATTATCCCATTCGAAACGTGCGATTAATATAGAGAGGTAGGTTACCATAATAAATAATACTCCTAATAAACATTACGTCTGTGTGAGATTATATTTATTCTTTTATTAAAAAGAACTATATAAATGACGGGGAACTGAAATACGGGACTCGTGTTATGAACTGAGTTCAAATTTCCCGCGTCTTGCACTTACTGGTTACCAGAGACTTTAATATCTACTGTGCTTTAATCTTTAATCAAAGACTTCAAATATATATAGACTGGCTGTCACCCTAAATTCGTGAAGCAGTTCTGTCAACAGAAATCGCCGCCATTGCTGTTACTTTTCTGCATAGAAAACCCTAGGGTGAGGGTTTTCTATGCTTTTCTGTCACTAATAACACCGCAACAACCCATACCCATAACCTATTTCTTTCTTATGTATCACTTTCAGTTGTGACGTGGATGTGATCACAGTTTTTTTGGTTCTTTTGATCGTGTTTCTGTGCATTTAAGATTCAGCCATTATAGTATTGTTGAAGTTTATTTGTTTGTGTGTGTATGGTGTGCAAACTCACTATTCATATGAAGTCGATTGTATACGATTTTAAACTTCCCGCGGTTTCGGTCACATCCAAAATGGAGACCGGTTAGCTTCAGGTTTTTCGTCCTATCACCGGTCTATATATATTTGAAGTCTTTTCTGTCTTTAATATACAACCTGGTTACAACAATAAACCAGACAAAACGTCAAAACGATCACCGAAAACCTTAAAATGCAAAAGAAACTGTTGTTCAAGGTCGGAGCACCTTGACACAGCTATTACTTTGTTAAAATAAATTTGTTTTTAACCTCATAACCCAACATCCCATATGATCCCGTAATTAATATGACAGTTCTTGCTGACAAAATCAGACAAAACGATCACCGAAAACCTTAAAATGAAAAAGAAACTATATTCTTCAAGGTCGGAGCACCTTTAGAGACGCTAGTGACCTCTTTATGTTGTTCCCATGTATTTCTTATGGAAACAACTGATGCTTTCATAGCCCTGGTATTGATATCTATACCAGTCTTAGATCATATAATAAATAGATACCAATACTCAAACTGAAAGCTGTGACTAGACATGAAGCTATCTGTTGTCGTTTTCTACGTCAAGAGGAGTAGTATAATGCTATCCTTGTGTGATCACCACATCTTCATCTTTGTTATATGCATTTCATCTGTATATGTCTATTTCACTTCCATCCTTGTACCGCACCAGCGCAACAAATCGCTTTTGACAGATGTTTCTTCTAACCTCTCTTTCGAGTTGTTGTACAAAAAACAATTTTAGAATTTAGAACAAAGATCCTATTTTAAGTGATGTAATCATAAAGGATCACAATTGCTGCCCAATAATTTACTATTCCTTTCATTATCTACTGTGAATTATTTATAAAATCAAGCTGTCAACATCTTCCGTACGAAGTTAGTTCAGACATACTTCCTAAAATTTAGGCGCGCAAAATTCAAATAGTGATCAGGCAAGGATAGCTTCATTGTAATCCCTTCATGTACGAGAGAGATGTGTGACAGGAGGATGTCGTCACAGGCTCTGCTAGGGAAAGAACACGGCATGGTGGTATCTATTTATTATATGATCTAAGATACCAGTGATGTCTATACTGTGTCTGTGTTGTTCTTTGTATTTAATGTTGTGTTGACGTATGCTGCGATGAACTACCGCTTCAGGGCGCTTTTAACTTGACAGTTGCAAACAGAATATCTCCACTATACATGATTTTCTATGGTTGCAAAATAACCTGAAAAAACAATGCAGTTTGTTGACGTAATAATATATTTTACTGGCTCAACATAAAGTAATTGCAGTTTTTTTAACAAAAAAAATGTAACAAAAGAATTCGAATTCGCTGCTGCTACGAGACAGTGACTACCAAATTTCGTTGTTACAATTTGCTTTTCAGCAGGGCAGAGTAAGTAGGTATGTGTAAAATTGATGCTAAAATATACGGATAAATTAATAGATGAGAATAATACAATTTTCTGTTTGTATTTTTGGTCGAATTTCATGGAAAAAAATGTTTTAATATGATTAAAAACCCATTTGATCATATTAATACACATTATGTACCTGTGTACATACTGCACTGTTGCTGTATTATTTTTGTGGACTCTTGTTTTAGTATAACAAATCATGCAGATGTCAAAAGAATTTGCCGTTGACCTCGGTGAAAAATATAATAAAGTCCTTAAACTGCTTGAGGATAGTAAATTTGACCCACCTAATGAACCATATGCATCGAAGTGTGCAGCAAAAGAAATTCTTATTGACATGAAAGCAAAGTTGGAAAATACATCAAATAATCAATTCAGTTCTTCCAGTGAACTATTAAAAATAAAAGGTAATAATGAAAAATGAGTGAGAATATTTAAATTACTGTAATTATTTGCAGCAATGCTGGGATCAGTATACTTGTACTTAGGTATGACATCAATTGAAATGGAAGAGTTATCAGAAGGAGAAAATTCCCTACAAAATTGTCATGACACAATTAGAGATTTTTTTAATAATCCACAGGTAGTAATGATTACACTCAATATGTATAATCAGTTTGGGATTTTGTGGTCACAAAGAGAGCCTGAAAAAGCAAAAAATTATCTACACAAAGCTGAACAGCTTTATCATAAATTTAAAAGTTCTGATAATGTGGCTGTTGATATTAGTACGCTATTTTGTTCAAATCTAGAGACCCAAAATGAAGAAAATGCAAAACAAAATTTTGAGAAGATACACACTTTCACACTATATTATTTAGCTCAGATATATGGAGTTTTGAAAGATGCATTAAAGAGTGCAATATATTGTCACATTACATTACAGAGACAACTGGACTCTGGAGACTATGATCCTATCGATTGGGCGTTGAATGCAGCTACTTTGTCACAATTTTTTATGGAGAAAAATGGTTTCAAACAAGCAAGACATCATCTAGCAGCAAGCTCTTACATAATGGATGAATATAAAGAAAAATTATTTTCAGTTTCTGAAAGAAATGAAGAGTTTGATGCCAAAGTGGAAGTTTTTAAGCACAGATCAGCAGATATTGCTCGTTGTTGGGCAAAATATGGGTTAGTACTATTATCTAAATCTAAAGAAAGATTATTGAATCATACAGATGATATTAGTGAAAATTGTTCACTCTCTGCAGACCTTAGCAAAATGACCCTAAATCCTGATGCTAATGTGTCATTAGAAGAACTACAAAATTTAGAATTTACCTCACCTAAACTGGGCCATTATGAAAAACAAATAACTGATAAATTCGTATTAATTATGCAAGATGCGAAGCTTGTATTTTTAAACATACAAGGATGGTTGCAGAAGGCTGAATCTTACTATACACTAGAGACTTTAGCATCTGACCACATAGAAATAGTTCAGGATCAGAGTAATATGTATTTTGGCTTATTGTTCTTTGAAGATAATGTGGACAATCAAGCAAAGTTGCATAAACGGCGGATTGATCTTTTAGAAAATGTTATCCAACAAATCAATCCCAAATATTACCTTCAGTATTGTCGACAAATATGGTTTGAATTAGGTCAAATATACTCTGATATCCTTAATATCAAGTGTGATAAATTAAGAGAGATTGAGGGTAGACCATCACCGCATATGTTGGCAAAAATTAACCACTTAACTGAGAAGAGTATTTATAGTTTTACATGTTTTGTAGAATCTTTTAAATCAGATCAAGAAGAGGAATTTGTCACGCAAATTCCTGCGGATTTTGAAAAAGCAGTTATGCAAGCCTATTTTCACATTGGTGCATTAAATAATAAGTATATAACATTAAATAAAAAAACACAACTAGCTAATATTGAAATGAGTTACAAAGCATATAAGAAAGTTGTTGATTATTGTAAATTAAATGAAAAGGTAATTGAACAGATGCCAATGGAACACAACATTTGCAAAGAGATGGTTACATTATTACCAGTTAAAATGGCAAAATTGGCACAAGAGCTGCATTAGTTTGTGTCATTATGTTATTTGTACTAATTACTAATTCATTGTTGTAAGTAAGCAAATAACGTGTAATACATAATACCAGCATTTTCGATTTTTATTTCTAGTTTAATTTCAGAAGTTCGTGTCATTTGTGATTATTATTAAGGCGAGGGTTTGAATTAGGCGCCATTGTTGCCCTAAATGCAACCAACAATCCTTCCGAAAATCTACCTGAGAGCTGTGACACAGGCTGTGATGAGTAAAGAGGGATAGAATAGACAATTCAGAGATATGGGTCATAAAACCATCGTAAGCTAACATTAATAGTATTGATAATTTATGACAAGTTCCCGACAACAGAACGTAGAATAATCATTTTTCGTAATATTTTGAAACATGTATTAAATTTTGCAAATTGTTGCTATGTGTACAAATTTTACTAAATGGGGCGATTCCTACTCTCTGGCATTAAGTGCATGCATATGTATTAAAATAAACTGAAATTTGATTGATTTTGTCTCTTCAACACGAAGAGAGCACCAATTAATTAAGCATACAAATTGACGCACTGCGGAGCGGGAAGAGTGACGGATTTAAAAAACTTATATATAAGTAAAAAAAACTATGAGAAATAAGTCCAATAAGGACTCAAGGACCTTGGCCTAGGACTCCAGAAGACCCTAAAGAATTTATTCCTCAGAGAAAAAAAACCTCTATTTTCGTTAGAACCTGAGAACATAACAAAATATTAGCAACCTCACGAGAACAACAATAAACAAAATTAAAAGTCGCGGAACTCTCGGCAAAGTAAATGGATGGCAACGTTCCAGACATTATGACAATGTGGTCTCTACAAACAAGATGGGGGCGCACAGCGGGTGCAGGGCGACAGCCGCACTTCCCGTGAAGGCCCACATAGTCCTACCTCACCACTTCACGCACGTGGTCTTACGCACCCGCATGCTGTAGGTTGATCTTCCTACCCCTCGCAAATAAGGTAGCTCAGTAAACTCCGAGTCCGCTAAGGCCGGAAGTCTAGCAAGACCCGTAAACACCCGCACGGAGACGTCGACGCCACCGCGTCCACGCCATACAACCCCCGAGTTATCTAGCGCTATCAAATTGAGTATTTGGATTGCAGACAAGCAATAAACAAATTTTAATTGGCCACACTCCATCAACACCTTTTTTTTAATAACAAAGAAATTTAAATGGGATTAAATTATGCATGTGTGATCAACAATCTTATACAACAAGAAAATGAAATGAGAAATTATTTATGTTTAATGATTTTCAACAATAAGAAGTTTGAAAGAGATTATATTATTGACATTTTAGCAATGATTTTATTAAATTAAGCTACATTTACGTCGCTGATTTTATCAAAGAATTTATCTGATGTTAACAAAGAAGTTACGGATTTTATTAAAGTGTTTGTCTGATATTGAACAAAGAAGTTACAACTGCAAATGATCTGGGCAAAGTTACGTCGTTGACCGAATTAAACAAACAAACAAACAAACAAACAAACAAACACAACACCCCCCCCCCCCAACACATCCCCAAACAAAATACACATAAATAAAAACACATACGAAATAAACAAAATAACACATAAAATATGCAAAATAAATAAGACATAGGCAATCATAAAAGTTCATAGCCCCGGTGTTTCTCTCACCACCTTAGGGCAGGACGGAGTACACAAAAAACATAGTTTCAAATTCATCGACAATGTTTTCGGTCAACAACAAATCCCCAATGATTAATACAAAAATTCACAAAAGACGCCCTTGAAATTCCCCGGTTAACACCCCCTACTCTGCACCCTACCACTTTCTTCTTTCTATTTTTTTTTTATTGAATATTTGAAAACTACATGGAATTTTCCAGAATTAGAGTTTACAATAAACTCAAGATTCACTTGTTCAGATTACGTTTGAATTTACTTTAGTCACACGTGCTGAAATTATGCAACGCAAAATAATAACTCGAAAATTGCCATCAAAACTTTCCGCATCACATTCGCTAAATAAAACTGCCCTTGCTAACGTAATTCCCTGAAAAGCCCTACTAAAACGGATTGGAATTATGTTGAAAAGGTTAGTACGAAAATTTACGACCACGGCGTCATCCGGAAGCGCCGCCATTTTGTAGCGTCAGGCCGCGTATGTGGCACACACGGAATCACGTGGAAAACATAGGAGGAATCGCCACTAAAACAGAAAACAGACAAAGCACAGAGACTTGAAAAAAACACAGAGAGCACCTACCTGACGTCTACTCGAAATAAAGACCAAGTCAAAACTGGTCGCGACTCACCTTTCTCAAACACGACCCTTCTGCGCATCTCCCTCTTAGTGGTTTTCGTTTCTTTCCATTTCTACCCCTTTTCTTACTAGAAGTTCGGCGCGCGGAAATTTGGTTCGAAACGGCTTACTACACTTTGTTTAATGAAAATTAATGGTAACGACGACGCCCAGTTTTCCCCAACACGCGCAGCTAATTCTTGCGGCTTTCTAATCGGAAAAAGTGCTAATTTTCGACCGACGCTATACGTGCTGTAAATTTGTTTTATTGTTTGTTAATTCACCGATCAGGTTAGGACTTTAATCGTTAACTGGTTCTCAGACAATTTAACAGACATTAGATTTTCTTAGACAGATATTTAGTAGGAGATTTCATGAAATTCACTTAGTCAGAGATTTCTGGATGCTAATACAGAATAATACTTTTTAATTTCTCACACAAGATTGCTAATAGTTCATTAACAGCAGTTAAATTAACGCAATGCATAATAAAATGAACTAGCGGGGGGTTAAAATAATTTCTTCCCTTTAGCAGTTATCATCGTTATGATCATTACATCACCGAGGCATTTCCTCGCAACGCTAAAATTTACATCACCGAAACGCTTTTTCCTCTCAATGATGACTGGATATGTTTGTGTTTATTTATTATGTGTTTTGTTGGGGTAACCAGTTCACGATAAACTCTCAAAGTTAATTATTTAAGTAACCAACCACTTGGATTATGTCATATTTTAACATAATGTAAACTCTTTGTTTCAACCGTTGATAAAGTGTGGCAAATATTAATCTCATGTAAATTTGTTAGCTTTGCAATTTTTCACCTCAGACAATATTTCTCTATCTCACAATTTTAACCTCAGTAATTTTCTTTGTTGTATAATTTTAATTGAACATAAATTTCCATGCTTTACAGTTTTAACCTCACGTAATATTTTTATTTGCACAAGTTTATTTCACACCAGATCTTTGTTTTCATAAATGTTTGTTAATTTTTGGTTTGTAAATATTTTGTTGATGGATGTTTCCATCGTATAAATTATCTGATATCCAATTTTAATTTAACATAAGAATTACTTGTTGTTTAAAATCTCACAAGATTGTATGGCGAATTTAAATGTTGTTTATTGCTCTTTTTGAAACTTTAACACTTGTTCAGTTGTCGTTAATATCAGAGTTATAAGAAATTGAACATTGAAAATGGAATTGAGGTACACAGAAAAACGTGGCAGAAGCGGAGTGCGCGGTTACTAGTCGAGCTGGCGGAATTTATCGCGCCATCTGTATAAAAGATGCAGGTTAGAATAGAATTCAGGGGCGATCGAGATGACGTAACGCTGTCGGCTTCTACCCCATAGCCGGGACCCAACTGCGAGTTTGCGATCGTAACGGCCTGCACGTACGGCTTGTCCGAAATAGAGAATAGCTTTGCGGCAGTGCTTGCGATAGATAGAATCACCGTTGTGGGGGAGAACAGTCCAACCGGGAGTCCCAAACTCCGCTTGTGATAGCACGCCCCTATGGGTATTTTTGTTGTCCCCTTGTTGACTGCCCTAATTTTAAATTTGCCGCCACACGTCTATAATAACTTGTGTATTTGCCTCCAGTTACTTTAATCCAGATTTTGATTTGTTTTTATCAAATTTGTGATATTCAAATATTTCCATTGATTCAGAAGTTCAGAACGTTTAATTTGATTTCATTTAAATTTCATACAAAGTTCAATAATTTTTTTTTTTGGAATTGAAAAGCGATTGCGATTCGGTCCCCTCTGGGCAGCCTGAGGGCAAGTCACGAGTCACCCTCGCACGCATCTTTTTTTTTAATTTTTTTTTGTCGGCGGAGGAATAAATCGCACTGTGAGAGCAATACTCACGTTAAGTCAAAATTTGCCCAATTCTTAAATTTATCATTAATGCATAAAAAAGTTAATGTAGTTTTAGTATATGTAAGTATAAACGGAAAATTTATAAAAAATAAGACGGCTAAAAGATAAAAAAATTTTAAAAATTTTGCATGGGAATCGCCACTTCAAATGAATTTGAATAGTTGACGTTCCTGACGGACCTGTCACCTAACTGACGTGTCATACAAAACTATTTCTTCTGTGCGATTGTGAAAAAAGTATTACTACATTTCAAATCGTTCTTTGTTTTTTCGTAAAAAAAAAACGTCGTTTATTTTAAGAAAAGTCTTAGTTAAAGTGAATTTAGTTACACATTGCGAAAGTGTCTTATTAATTTTGATCTGCCATTCTATTTACCCATTGTTCACTTTGTTGGTTTCGACAAAACTTCAAACTTTAACGTTATTCGAGGATTTAATTTGAAGTTTCAAAATTTTAAAATTCTCAAGACAAAATTTACAGATTTGATTGACTGTGAAAATAATTCTGTGTCGTTTTATGAAGTTCATTACAATGCCGAGAAGACGACAAGCTGACATAAGTCCACGAAGTCAGTCAAATGTGCTACGAACTACCTAAGGTGCAAATCGCGATGATTTATTTCAAGGGTAATTCGGATACGGAAGTTGATCAGCGTTGTGCTCATAATCAACATCATAATCAAACATTGAAGCGAGACATTGGACGGTATGAATAAAACTGAGTAGATACTCATATTCGAAGTACGAAGTACCTACTTCATTATTACTCTTATATACCTGAGCATCTACCCGATGTACTGTGTATCTACTTGCAAACATTGTATCTCCCCGGACACAAATTGAACATTTACGCGTTTTGTGAGCATTTAATCTAAAAATGAGCATCGGCCTGGCAAATGACTATTTGTCCT